TAAGACTTTGCTCGCGAACTTTGAGTCTATCTGCAAAAGTAGGCAGTGCAAGTATGTGTCGCATACATACTACCCGGGCATCTCTTGTACATCCCAGAATTACCCGCATGGCTTCATTCTGTATGCGTTGAAGTTTCACCAGCTGACTCTGTGATATGTTAAGTATTCCAAGTTCATAATCTATCACCGGCAGGATCAAATGCTGGAAGAATGCTGTTCACATTGTTCCATGTCCCTTGATGCCATAATTTTGAGAGCCCTGAGTCCTTTTTGGTGTTTCACCTTAACTGCCCCAACATAACCCATAAGAGACAGGCTTCTATCAACAATGATACCCAGGTACCTCTGTCATCAATTGTGATGTTTCGAACATGTAATGAATACATTCGCGAACCTAAATGGTCTACGGCTGTGTATTTTTATGTTATTATTATGATGCTGACAAGATTAACCTACTGTTGTGTATCTCTGTCAAGATGCGTGTGTTTAAAATACACTATATGAATCTCAATCAAAGCTCATGCATTGAACAGCTTTGCCACGATTCTCACTGTATTAAAAACAAACAACAAACATCCGTTATAGATATTACCAGAAACATATTAACAACATCAGCAAAGCTATGTAAGTTACGTCCCATTTTTAGTTTATTTGTTGGTTGTTTTGTTTAATGCTGAATTAAGAATCGACATCACAGTACTCGGGACACTCCCATAAGTGCTCAGTCCCCATCTTCAGCAGCAAGCGAAGAGTTCCAATTCCGATTGTGTCAGTCTGATTGTATATCCGTCTCATCCTTCCCCTGAGTAATAAGCGTCGGCCAGATCCCCTGGTAACTCTTTGCAGCGACATTCTCCTCAAACTGTATTGATCCATCTGCCCCTCCGCACTGTTCAACCGTTGCTTTGAAAATTAAAGCAATTGTGGATTGAGAGTTTTGAGTTATAGTATTAATTTCAACAACGATATCTTGTTTAACCTATATGAGCTATAGTATGGATATATTGGTTTTATTTCAATATCTTGTACTTTTTTTCATTAAAGATTAGAAAAATAATTCTTGCTTGCTATATACATCCAATTTTAATATATGGTTGTGAGTCCTGGACAATCGATAGGCAGGCCAAACAATTTCCTGAGGCCTCAGAGATGTGGTTTTACAGAAGAATGCTATAGCCAAAAAGAGCTATCAAGAGGTTTTGAAAGAGGCGGAAGCCCGAAGACAACTTATCAGAGACTTCAGAAGGAGACAGTCATCATTTTTCGGCTATGTTATGAGAAGAGGGAAAATGGAACATGTTGTGACCACTGAAAAGATCGGTGTGAGGGGGGATCGAGGAAGACAACCAGAGAAGATTCTTGACAGTCTTGTTGCGTAGCATGGAGGTGTGTCAGCACACGAACTGATACATGTTGCAGGAGATCGCGGATTATTGAGAGCCATGATCGCCCACCCCAGTCGACAAGGTACATGATGATGATTGGGTCCTTATGGTTGTCAGCTCATCATCATCATCAGGTAACAGGTCATTTATAGAACGTCGCTCTAATCACGGTCACTCACTACCCCCTCCCTCCTTTTGGTGCACTTTCATATCCAAGGAGTCACGTTCTGGGCCCATTTTTGTGTTGGTCAGCCTCTTGCTCTCCTTCCTCGTACCATGCCTTCTACTATTATTTTTTTTTGTCCGCCTTGATATGGCCATAATATAGCAGCTTCCGAGACAAGCCACTGTTTATTAGCAAATCTTCCTTTATGTTCAGAACTTTGAGAATTCTAGTCGAAATGTCAATTACTTTTGATTATTTTATATTGCACAGACAGCATTATTGTAAAATATTGTAGGGGATAGGCTGTTTGGTTTAATATACTGTGACAATTATATGCAATTTTACTGTATTTTCCACAGAAATGGTTTCAAGACACTAGAAACTGTATATGATTACCGACCCCCCCCCCCCCCCCTTTTCCCAAAATCCCCTACATACACAGACACAGGTTGATTGTTTTAACAGACTCTTTATCTACGGTTTTTGGCCTCTAAATTTACTAAAATATTTTCAGAATTTTAAAAAATTACCTCTAAATATAAAATGTGTAAGCCGGGCAAGGCAGTGGTGTTATGCTATCCGCCACCCCAATGTTAACTTCGTGGCGGGGCAGCAGATAGTAGCAGTCAGTTTTTTCCCGTCATGCTGCAACGGTACGCAGAAGCGGCATCTTTTTTTTTAAAGGCGATATTTTATTCAGCGCTATTGTAATAGTAAGCACCTAGACACCAGTAAAGGCACCTGATTAGGCGCTTTGTGGTGAGTATCTGTAGTGTTTTTTTGTGTGTGTGCCTTTTCTTTTTCTACATTCGATGGTTGTGACACCATACCATACAAAGCATACATGGAAAGAGACGAAGAGCGTAACGTAGAGTACAGGGTAGACCAAGAACAAGATGGAAGGACAACATCAGAGAAACTCTACAACAGCACGATGTGCCTATGGTCGGGGCAGCCAGAAGAGCTAGAAACAGAACCTTATATCTCCCTCGACACCCACAGCTGTAAAAGAGGAAGTGAAGAATAGGAAGAAGGTGGTTGTGGTGGTAGTAACTGAAAAAGGAGGAGAAGAAGAAGAAGAGTAGGAGGAGGAGGAAGAAGAAGAAGAAGGGGAGAAGGAGGAAGAGGAGCAAAAATAAGAAGAAGGAGCATGAATGAATGAATGAATAAATGATCTAGAACCGAAACCATTGCGCTCGGGATATTCCCACATGTGCTCCGTCCAATATCTTCTCCAAATACTACTGTCAGTCATACGCAGTCACATTCTTCAGTAACCAACGAATAGTTAAACGTAAGAAGGAAGGAATTCTATTACGGAGTTCCCCGTGTGGGTTCCGGGGTCCCATTGTTGGAAAAACAAGAGTAGACTCACTGCTTTTCCGACAAGCATGTCGTAAGAGTCGACTAATTGGGACCTTTCTTCGAAGTCGGAGTGCAGTTGCCTGAGGCAAAGAACCAACAATCTGCTTGAAAAAAAAGCAAGATCTGTAAAACGGATGCACACGCAAAACTTACGTCATGAAACAAAGCCAAAGTCCAGAAATGAAAATACAGCCAGGTCTTTCCGCCGGTGTTTACAGTCGGTGAACGCAAACAGCAAACAACAACAATGACGGAGTACATGCGAATAGCTAAAGCGAGTATTTCCGGGTGAAACCCAAACATGAAAGAAGGAAAGGTTGTCATCCGAGATATTTACTTTGTGTTTCTCTGCTGTAATTGTTTGTTCAGCGATTCATTTCTTTCAAGTCCAGTTTTTAACTATTGAATAAGATGTTAAGGAAAACCAGTCACCTTAGATGCAAGCGAAGTTGATAAAAAATATGGCATACAGAATAAGTTGCAGTCGATACTTGGTCCCCGTCTTGAGTTTTTTGGAACCCAAGGTGCCGTCTGCTAGCAAACCACTGAGACAGTTGAAGACCTTGTCCCATGATTACAACAAGTTGACCAGTGGTGTTTATATGACCTCAGTTTTCTCTGGAACACAAAGAGACTTTGGAACGAAACAAGATGCACAGAGGTGAGCACTTTTCCATCTAAACTGATCAATTCTCTTAGTTCTTTTTTTTTTTTTACTTCTAATAGTACTAACTAATACTTCTAATTTCTACCTTTACCAGTCATCTCTGTAGGCACACTAAAATACATATTTTAGCACGACTTTTTGGGCGGTAAGCAATTATACGCAGTTTCGACACCTTTCATGTTTTTAAGCTATTCTGTAATACCCACTTTGTGGTAAGTACGAGCACCCTTATATATATATATATATATATATATATATATATATATATATATATATATATATATATATATATATATATACACATATATATATTATTTATATATATATATATATAGGCTCTCCTCCGAACAGCATCATAATATTATGGCGGCCATAAAATATCCAAAAATATCCGTACGGGGCTCAAGCATATCTAAAATGCGGACTTTCTGCCAAGGAGAAATCACGGCAAAACTAGGATTACTTGACAATATCAACAGACGCAGCATTGCACACCGTAGTAGCAGACGATAATAGCGACCGTTGACAGTTTCGAGCATTTCTGCAGACGATAATAGCAACCGTTAACAATTTCGAGACATTACAGACGATGAAAGCGATATGGCGGGTAGACCACGCAGATTAGCAATACTGTTCGTCTGATTGAGGATTTAGCAGCGGTAGATGTCAGACCTGCCGACCTATATCCTCACACTTTTCGGCATGCACAAAACAAGATTAAACTTACCTCCGAGCGTATCCCCCGCGCCGCTACATGCGGCACAGATGGCGAACTAAACTAGGTGCCTGGGACTCATGAGCAAATTAGTTGAAGAAAGTTGCAGGAGATGCGGTAGCTTCTGCTCGTGAGTCCCTGCCATCTAGTTTAGCCCCCTTCCGCGCTGCGCGTAGCGGCGCGGGGGATACAGTCGGCGGTGAAGAACAGTCACAGAAACAGGTCCGCAAGTAACATATCGCTGAGACCCTGTTAGAGCATTTGTTTCGTTATACGGAGCCAGCATTATTTTTAATAGAACTGAGACCCGTACGTATATTTTAGGATATTTTATGGCCGCCATAATATTATGACGCCGTTTGGAGGAGAGCCTGTATATATATATATTTATATAGATGCTTTGTGAGGAGTACTGGCACCTTTTTTTTTCTTTGAAAAAAGCCTTGATTATTTAGATTAGTCATTATAACTCTTTTGGTTCTAGAGGGTTAGCATCAGAGGATCAAGGTAGAGTGATGCTGTTTTAAAATGTGACAAGTGCAACTTATTAAAACAGACCACACAGCTATGGCTACAAATATTACTTAAAAAATAAGAATCATCTTACTTTCCTCTTGCAACTTTTGTGCAAAACCCTTTGTGCACTTCTGCAGGGCACCTGGTGATGTTTTATTTGGAGTAGATGAGATTCAAGCTAAACTGATGCAGGAAGAGTGCATTATTGTTGACAGAAATGACAAGACTATTGGATCTGCCTCCAAGAAAGAGTGTCATTTGCTAGACAATATAAATCAAGGTTTGTGTTGAGATGTATTTTTTAATAAATTGATGATGCTTTGATTTCAGTAATATGCCACATGACTAGGTTTTTTTTAAAATTCATGATGAAATTAATACAAACATCTGTGTAACATACAATAAGATGTCTCTTGAAAAGCTGATGCCGAGCAGAGCAGAGTCTACAGAAAAGAAGAAAACATTGTATATTTTATGTTTAGTTAGGACACACTACATCCTTTCAACAAAACATTCGTCTCCAACAGTGTGCTGTGTGTTTAGTCTTTGTGGGTGTGGAACACCTGTTAGTTTGTCTTTATCATTATTTCCCCAGCAGGGCTTCAGCTACGATCTCCTCTGACTGAAAAAGTTAGGATGTATGTTTTCTGTTTTCACATATTTTATGATTTACAAACACTTTGCATTGTGTTACAAATACCTAGATTATTCATAACAGTAACATGCTTACATTGTGTAAGTCTAGAACAATAGGCTGTACCATGCAGCCTACATGTTCAGTATTGATGTCCTCATGTTAACAATGTTATCAAGATCTCAACTCAACTGAACAGTTATGTGTGCGTTCATTATGATTCTCTTTGTTCTTGGTAGAAAATCTAGGAACAACTTTGCTCCGCTTAGCTAAGGCCTTTAAATATATAGCAAACGTATCAGTTCCATATTCTAGGAATATACTATGAAATTGCCAGCGTCTATGGCTTAAGCATTAGAAACACACTTTGTAATTCCATGATCCAAGGTTCTGACCCAGCTGTGGGCGATTTGACAGCAGACCACCTGTGTTGGTTTCAGCAGTGGTATCGAGAGCCGGACGTTCAGAGGAGTCCCAGACTACAAACAGATGCTGTGAATTTTAACTTCATGGTGACTTGAACCAGTTGTTCTTTTGTTATATTTGGGATAAAAAAGGTAACTTCATATTTTTTATGGAACTCACAAACTTATCCCAGCATTTATTGGCTGTTTTTTGTTTTACTAGGAAATTTTATGTTAAGTAGTTTGTCATTGCTTTCTGAATTGACTTCTTTTATACTCTTGTACAACCAGGGTCAAACTACCTGGAGCTGAATCGAACTGGTATGTTGTAATAATGAAACTGGGTTCTTAAATCTTAATGACAAACCTTGACTTTGTCATATAAGTAAACTGAAATACCACTTTCTATCCTCAGGCATGCTTCACAGAGCTTTCAGTGTCTTCCTCTTCAACACCAAGGGTGAACTGTTGTTGCAGCAGCGAGCATCTGAGAAGATAACCTTTCCTGGTAAGTTGATATAAATCTGTTTGAATAAACAGCACAGGAACTAAAGGATCCTCTTTATATCCGTGGCACATATAATGGTTTAGCACTGACAGGCATTCATGACCGAACTGGACCTTGAATGCCTTGCTGATGAATTTCTGTATGTTTTACTCCTTCCTCGATTAAAAAGAAATAAATAACAGAACGCTTTGTCACATTTCACAAGTGAGAGTGGCCATCTTTAAACAGTCTTTTATGACCTCACCATGTTCCTCTGCACAGTGATGTCCCTGCTTAACACTCTTTACATCTTTATGAATAATATGAGGTTTTAAGACGGTGGTATGGTATTTGAAGTATTTGTCTAACATTTAAGGTTTTTTATTTGAAATCTTCTTGTAACATTAACATTTTCTATCCCAATGCTATAGTACTGTGGAGTAAAGACCTTTGAATCGTATTTGCTCTTAATCAGCTAACAATAGACATATGAGACAGAGTGATTCAAATAAACAAATAAGACTCATAGATTAGTGTAGGAGAAGATTGAACCATAAGAAGCTGGGAAAGTATGTATATCTTCTATAGAGGAATGGGATGCATAGGTGCTGAACTACATGTGGTGTTGCACGAGCAACAGGGCTCATTCTAGTCATACCCTATCAACACGTCTCCATGGTGATCCTCGAAACAGGGGACTGGTCAGTGTGGGTAGCATTTGTGTTGACTTCAAAATTGGAGTGTGTCTGCCTGAGATCTGAGAAACATTAGTATGCACATTTATAAGACAGATCTGTAAAACTGATGCACACAACACAGTTAGTCCTGGAACAAGGCTAAGTCCAGTAGTAGATGAACAGTCAGGATTTTCTGTCAAGAGTTTACAGCGGGTGAACATAAGGCAGATGACAGAGTATAGAGTAATAAGTTAACATATCATGAATTGCTCGGTTCTGAAAGAGTTGAGATAAAGTCTGTGTAATTCATAGTGCTGACCAATCAAATGAACGTCAGTCTAAATTGAGCTCTTGACAGAGCTCATCAAGGAATGTTACATCTCGCCCTGACACTTCATTGAGATACAAAGTGGAAGAGAAGAAGATGTAAAAAAAAAAGTAAAGTAAAGATCCCTTTTCACGCCTTTCGGCGCATCGGGCAAATGGGGAGAGCGTCCCATATTTTTACAGACCATCAGCACCCTGTGGGTAATGTGGTCAGCATTACGCCGGCTGTCTTAATTTCCCAGGACAGCCCATCCTGGTACCCATTTTAGGCTGGTCGACCTGCAACGTCCCATACCACGATAAAAATCCACGCAGCCCGCAGAGGAAAATCAAACCTTATTATGAACAGTATGCATATGTAAATAAGTTTACTTTTATTTATCATAGAAGCTCAGGCACCTGATTCACTCCAATAGTATCATTTTCTCATTTATAAGAGGGGGATGGGGTTGTGGAGACTGTTGGGGGTTGTCACGTTGCTGTTAAGATGAACCAACAGTTGCTTTGTATTTATATATTTTACTGTAGATCATTTTACCAATACCTGCTGCAGTCACCCTTTGAGTTTCCCAGATGAGCTGGATGAAACAGATGCAATTGGTGTCAAGAGAGCAGCTCAGAGGAAGCTGAAGCATGAGCTGGGGATTGAGCCCGAGCAGGTATAGAATGATAAATTAACTCTTGCAATACCAGAAAGAGTTTACGCAGGAGATGCCAATGAGGATGTGTCTTCTTCTTCTTCATCATTCCGAGCCCTTGAGGTTCATTACTGCATATATCATCTACCTCCATTTATATCTCGTATACTCATATATTAGTCCTCCCTTTTCTTCTTGGTCTACCTCGTGGTCTTTGATCATTCATCTTCCTTGTGTACACAGTTTTAACCTCTCTGTCATCTGACATTCTCTCAACATGCCCTACCCAGTCTGTTAGTCCCCCATGATGCTCTTGATCAGATTGTGAATTTCCTTGTTGCTTCTTGCTCTCCATTCACCCACATCTTTGATGGGTCTACAGATTCCTCATAAGACTCTTGTTTTAAAAAATATGTAATAAGGCTTCATCTCTTTTAATTTTGCTCCAAGTTTCAAAGACATATAAAACCATTTTTCTTATCAATGTTTAAAAATTTTTGATCTTGGTGCGAGATAGAGACTTTGACTTTAGCAGGTGTTGTATTCTATATTGTATTTATTCTCCTAGTATGTTGGAGCGATTGAAGTTCGCATCCAAGTACTTATATGTTTCCATTTGTTTGATTTTCATATTATTCTTGTATATGTTGCCAGAGTTGTTGTTATCCTTTCCCTGTCTCATTATTCCCTTATCTTATCTTGATTGGTAACAAGTCCCATTTTTTTAGCTGAATGAAGAAATATCTGTGATTAAAATTGATCAGTGCATTACTTTACACTAGTAGTAAACATTGGATAAGCCATATTTCTTTAGTGTGAGAGCATATTAAGCTGAGGAGGGGATTTAATGGAAGACAAGTATTTCAAAACTTTTGTAGTGGTGGGGGGGGGGGGGGGGGAATATTATTTGAGGTCATTATTTCTAATAATTTATGATCATAATTGTCATCATCAGGTGCCTAGGATGCTAGCCAGTGCACTGCCTCAGCTATCAGAGATAAGAGGTGGCAACAGAGTATGATTGCTTTTTTTGTAGGTTGTGTGGTGAATTGTATGGGGGAGGTGTAGACCCACTGCTGCTGTAACAAGCTTTCTTTAAAAGGCAACTGATTAAGTGTGTTTCCTTTGGAGTGCATTTGCCTGAGAGACAAGAAACCAACAGTCTGCATACACATAAGCCAAATCTGTGAAACGGATATGCGTGTAAACCTTAAGTTCTGGAACAGGGCTGCTAGACAACAAGACAACTAGAACTTTCTGCCGGAGTGGGTCTGTCTCCCCCCCCCCTCCCCCCTCCTTTTTCACCTCTCCCTCCCCAACACCCCAGAGGGAGTCCAGGAATCCACATGGGGAGCACACAAGAAATACAACTTGATATATATATGACATTTACAGGTTCCCCTGGAAAATTTCCACTATCTGACACGCATCCTGTACAAAGCAGAAAATATACCCAAGGACAATAAGTGGGGCGAGCATGAAATTGATTATATTCTCTTCATCAGAAGAGATGTTGATGTTATAGCCAGTCCCAATGAAGTGAAAAGTTACAGATATGTCAGCCAGAGTCAGCTGAAGGAGCTTGTTGGTAATTTGTGCTTGTTCAACTTGTTGGTGGATTTAAATTGATTGGAAGTGGTTCTTGTCCATTTGTTGGTGTTTTAAGCTGGAAATGATTGTTTGTTAAGTTGTTCTTGTTGCATTTGTTGGTTTGTTGAGCTGAAAGATTGTTGGTGCGTTAAACTGAAAGAGATCATTGATGTGGTGTGTTAAACTGAAAGTGAATTTTGTTAAGTTAATACTATTGTCAATATCTGACTCATTAAAGTAAGTAAAAGTAAAGTAAAGAAAAAAAAAAGTAAAGGACCCTTTTCCACGCCTTTAGGCGTATAGGGCATATAGGGCTAGACCTATATTTTTATAGACCAATCGGCACAAGATGGGTGATGTGGTCAGCACAGTCAGTATTTAGATAATATTTGTTACCATATGCCCTGACACCCCAAGTCTACAAAGTAAGTAAAAGACCCTTTTTTTTATCGCAGTGATGCATCTGGTATATCATGTTAGCCTCATATTTTTATAGACTGTTCAGTACTTGGTGCACTCCAATCCAGAGATCAGGGAGGAGAGATAGAGGTAGAAACGAAGAGATGAGACTTGACAGCATTTTGTCATGGTATTGAAATATGGAAGCACTGATCGATTCTGTTGGAGAGTGCAAGATGTGGAATAACATGATTGTCCCATGCCAGTTTAAAGGTACTTGATGATATTGATGATGAATTTTATTGATTGATATGTACTTTTCTTTGTTTTAAACTAAAGTGAAGACCTGATAAGGAGAACTCACCAGGGATCTAAGAAATAGTTATTTTTATCAGAAATTCCTCTTATCCAGCTATAAGTTCATGCAAGAAAAATTTAAAGAAATAAACAAATTGTTCTTCACAACAGAAATTTGCTATATCCGAGAGGTTGACATAAGCAGTTTGTACTTTATTTGGTTACTTACTAAAGTGTATTGTTATTGATGGTTTCATTTCTCTTGGCACAGGTACAGCAGACAAGAATGGCATTTTACTGACTCCATGGTTCAAGCTTATTATAGAGAATTTTCTGTACCAGTGGTGGGACCGACTTGATCACATTGAGTCTGTGGCAGACAGGGAAACAATCCACATATTATCTTAGAAGTTTGTTATGATCTGTTAGCTGTTATTGCAGACACAAAATATTACTGTAAAGATTAAATAAATGTGAATCTGTAAAAGTGTATTTTGTTGTTATTGCTGTTTGTCTGTTGTTTTTGTTAAGCTTTTCATGACAAACCCATGCATAAATCAACACAAACAGGAAGTAGTTTGGCATGGGAGGGATGCTTTACTGGTTTACTTCATGTAACAACATTACCAGATAAGGCATACATAACATGTTGGCTTGTGCAGTGTTGGTTAGTGTCGAAAGTGGCATTGGGGAATGCCAGACTCTCAGACTGAAGCACATACTGACATCTTACTTCAAGGCCTGTGGCATCTTTCTATTTCTTTTTTTTTCTCTTCCCCCAGGTACTGCATTGATGTGTTGAGGAAAGATGTCAGAATCTTGTATGCACTGTTTGTAATGTGTTGTGTAAGTTGATATTTATTTTGTAGGCTATCATTTCATTTCGCATGGTTCTCTTCTTGCTTTGCTTTCACGTGTTGGGAAATGAACAGGCGGACAGACTGGCTGGCTCTGCACAACTTGGTGGAATGCTGATGCATGATAAGGCAGACGTGGTTAGTGCCTTGTGGGAGAGCATGTACAATTCGGAGGAGCAGATGGATCACCACAGTCTGGGGAGATTGATGCAGTTGGGGGTGACCATAGGTTCTGGCAGATGCTGGAGGCTCAGAGGAAAGGCAAGACGGACGTTTAATCAGAATGCTACTGGCACCATTAGAATCGGAACTCTTCGCTGGCTGCTGAAGATGGGAACGGAGCGCTTATGGGAATGCCCCGAGTGCTGTGATGTCGTTTCTTGATTCAAATAAAATAAAATCAATCATTTTATTTCTTCAGCATTAGCTCTCTGTGTCAGTTTTTAGCAGGGCGTTCTTGTCAGATGTCAAGACAATTCCATCTGTTGCTTTTTATATGAATTGTGTGACTAGTTTCATTCCTCTTCTTATACTGCATCCCGCATGTTAAAAGTGCTTCAGAGTGTTGTTGTAATCTACTGTTAATGAATAGCTCCTGAAACTCATAATTAAATCTACAAGCCAGTAGGATGGCCTCTGAGAAAACCATGCTAGAATTATGCCTGATACAGATATTGTAGAAGTGATAAATCAGAAGAAGGATAGGTCTATTTCTATGTAGTTTTGGCTTATGTATAACTTTTCTAATTTTTTGTTTAAACATGTGGGCAGCTGCTGATTTAACAAAATGTTTAAGCCATGAGTGATAATAAATAGGACATGGAAGTGTTGGAAATGGATGAGCTATTGTGCGGGTTCATGTGTCATAATGATTATTTCGGCTATGTAGGCCATTTCCGGTCACCCAGAAACATTCTGCCTCATGGTCTGCTCAAGTTGTGACACCCTAACAAGTTGCGGATCAATTAGTTATTGCCACATTGAATATGCCGACATCTACTAAATGAACTTGTGATATTCGACTGGCAGTTTAATCCTCAACACCTGAAACTGAACGAGAAAATGAAGAAGAAACAGTCTGTATAGCCTGATTTTTTTTCAATTTCCAACTGCTTAAAGACTTTTTAAGATGTGCAATTTAGTTTGCACAACTTGATAACTTAACAGCTTGATAACTAAACAGGTGTGCACCATCTTCTGGGAGCCACTTTCAAGGCCAAATTAACTATTAAGAAAACTACGAACGTGTTTAGGGCATCAAAAAGGGAGGGGATACCACAGCTTCGGGGCTGAGCATTTATATTCTCAAAATCTCACGGCACACAAAAAAGGTCAGGCTGAATACCTTATCTCTATCAAGTATAGAAGCAGGTGTGTTACAAAAGATTAGTTTGAGGATTAGTTGAGGATCTTTTCGTAGACTTTGCAATAAAAAAAAAATTAGGAGACAACTTTTCAAGTATAAATATAGTGGAAGTATATAAACATACACCTTTTTTCCATCTCACTATAAGTGTTATTTAATATCGATAAATACAATTGTATTTGACAGTTTATTATTGTTTACATTTTGAATTACATATGTATGAGGGCACCGGTGCTGTCTTAACACATGGGGTCCATGTCTCACTGAATCACTGAAATTGGTGCTCTAGATGGCACTCTTGGCAGACAGCCACCCACTCTCATGAAGAAAATAATTGAGTCAGATATAAAACCTAAGGCAATACGTTGATCCTTTCATCTTTAAATTACATTTTTAACTAATGCTTCTGACGTATATACAGATACCTCTGTCAACCAAAGCAGATCTCATAAGAATGTTTTTTTGTTGTTGCCGACATTGTGCTACCAATGCTCAATATGGTCTTTTACTACAACTACAACTAATGGGCAGAAGATCGTAACAACAGAGATGAGATGTCTTAGGAGAGCAGTCGGTGGGACAAGAAGAGATAAAATCAAGAATGAAGAAATTAGAAGAAAACTAGGACTGAAACCAGTCATACAATTCATTAAAGAACAACACATGGGCAGAAGATGTTATTAGGCAAATATGCAGCCTAACCGACATCATACCTGGTGCAGAATGGATACCTGTGCCTCAAGCGTTTATTTGTACATTTTCCTATATTGTCACACTCAACAGGAGATGTAGAGAAGAGAATCCTGTTGCTATTAATGCAGAGGTCAACGCTCTCATCGGTGAAAGTTCAGACGAAGCAGATGCACTAATCTATACAGACGGATCCGTTATACGCCAAAGAAGAAGCGCATGGGCATTTACAGCACGCTCAGCGGGCAGAACAGTCAAAGAAGCCAACGGCGCCTTCTCCATGACAACCAGCAGCATGACGATGGAGGTGATGGCAGTGACGCAAGCGTTTGCCTGGCTTGAAACACAAAAATACACCCATGTATGTATAGTCCGTGATTCAATGAGTATGATCCGGAGGGTTCAGGCAGGTTCAGTGCGAAGACAATGGCTTGAATCATTACAGAAGTCCACTGTGCGTGGAGTCACCTTTATTTTTGTTCCGGCACACACAGGCGTCGATGGAAATGAAAGAGCTGACAGGTTGGCTGGATCCGCTATCACTACCGACGGTCAGCCTATGGATCATGCTGATATTATCAATGCCCTCAGAGAAATGGGAAGGATAGAGGACTTTGGTGGCAGTGAATCCACATCACTCGCCAGAATGGCAGACTTGGGAATTAAGATCGGCACAGCAAAAAACGAGACGCACACCAGACACGCCAGAAGACTTGTTAATCAACATAGAACTGGTACTATTAGCCATCGGACGTTGGGGTTCATACTGAGTGGAGGATCTGAGCACCTATGGACATGTCCGGAGTGCAATGATGATAACCCAACTAACTAACTAACTAACTAAATGAGATGTTTTGGCCATCTGACAAAAATGCCCTGGTACCAACTGCCGCAGAGAGCAACGCTGAAGAAATATAATGAACACAGAGCAAGGCGAAGACCACGCAAGAGATGGAGCGACATCATCACGAGCAACCTAACAGAAATGAACACAAACTTGTACAATGCATTGGAAAAGACTCACACACAATCCTCGCATCTCAGACCATCAATACCATTTGAGGCATTTGTCATAAAATAACCAACAACTGTTTTTGACAAATTGCTTCTCTTTTAAACCATGTTTTGCACAATTAGAAATGGAGAAAAGCCTGATTACATTATCAAACACAAAACTGTAAAATTGTTACTGTTAAGTTGGCAGTACAGAGTAGTCGTTTAAACATATACTATGCAAGACAGTGTGAAACATTGAAATACAACAGTTTACAACGAATAAAAAAAATGATTTTTTCTTTTATAATTTTAATTAATCTCAATTGCTGTGAAAATGTATATTGTATAAATATGCAATAAACCAGCCTGTATATAGTTTCCTCCTCTATCACCGTCTGGATAAGAGGAATTTCCGATAAGAAGAAATATTTCTTAGGTCCCAGGTGAGTTATCCTTCTCATGTCTGCACTATAATCAGTATTCAGCTTAATTATATGTAAATGTAAATGTTGTAGTAATAAACCTGGCCAGATAAAGCAAAATTAGCAAGGCAATAAGTTGTCCATATATTGTTTGCATTCTTATTACTGAAGTTTATATTGTTTATGACTTGATTTCTGTAATTCATTAACATGTTTAGCACAACTAGAGTCTATCACAAGATGGGGGATTGATGTCTTCAAAAACATTCAGCTCAAACAAACACGACAGAGTGATGACAAACACGTAAACAACCAAACAGAGGCCCCCGTAAGCTTTTGTGAGTTTCCAGTGGTTGATGCCCATTGACATGAGCAAGAAGATAACCGTAGCCAGTAGGGTGAGGGTCGAGTAGGTGAGGCCACCGCTGTCGATTACTACGCTGCCGCCGTTAGATCGGATGCACTCTATCAGCCAAGGCAGCCCGAGACACATCAAAATGTCGAACACATTACTGCCTAAACTATTGGATACCGCCATGTCCCCGTAACCTGCAGATAAAATATTGTCATCATTATCATTATCTTCACATTATTATCATTATCATCATTATAATAATAATAATAATCATTATTATTATCATCAACATCTTCATCATCATCATTAGGCCTCAGGTTCTTTATAGAACGTTGCTCTCGTCACGACACGCCTAACAGTCTCCATGTCTCTAACCAGTTTTCCACCTCCCATTTGCTTTGATAGCTAACACATCTTTAATGTCTTGTACCCACCTTTGCAGAGGCTGGTCTCTGCTTTGTTTTCTGGAAACGAAATGGTTCATCACCGTTTTCTTTTTTACCCCATGAAATCAAATATGGCCATTACAAAAAAGGTATTTTTTTTTCAGGCTCTTGATGTATGAGGCATATGTTTAAAAAACAAACATATATATGTCAACATAGGCATATCAGCATAAGGTGTATTCTCCTGATTTAATGAAAATAGTAAAGTAAGAAAAATACCATTTGAAAGCTTGTGATGAATGGTGTAAATAATGCCAAACTCACATTTTTAAAGATCAGCTGGCTCTCAATGTGTGATGTGTTCATCTTCACGCCAGCTGCCTTTACTTCCTGGGACTTACATGATACCTATTTAGGCGGGCTAATTTGGGAGCTAATGTTAGTTAGGAACAAAATAAAATGTTTTGAGGTCATGCAGATTTGAACCCAAGAACTTTGGCATGGCAAACGAAGGTCTGTTCACTTTCCTACCTCGGCTATCAGAGACAACATATAGCCTTTAAAAACTTGATAGAAAAACAAAATGATAGAAATTTGGTCTCTCGCCAGCTCTGCACTTCGTGTACTTTCATATTCAAGGAGTCACTTATATCCTGTGCCCATATTCATGTTGATCGACCCCTGCCCCTCCTTCCTGGAACTATGCCTTCTGCTATTATTTTTTCGTATCCGCCATGGCTCTTGACGCATCAGGCATATGTAATACTTATATCATGAAAAATGTAGTAAGTAAGGTAAAGGCGCCCCTTTCACTCCTTCAGGCGTATTAAGTATATAGGGCTAGACGAAAATTGTATAGTCCAAATGCGACTCGATGGGTGATATGGTTAGCATCACGAATGTTGCATATACCCCCTAGGACTGTATCTAGTACCCATTTAAGTTTGGGTCGACATGGGTGTCAAGGTCAGTTTTGAAAAAGTCAGGACTTGAGCCCACGACCTTCCGATGCCCAGGTGAGCGTCTAGCTGTTGCACCATGATGGCTGTCTTGATAGATGCATTATTACTCTTTAAACATTATTACACACATTGATGAGCATTATCCTTTCTATAGCAACATACGGATGTGAGTCGTGGACTTTCTCGCAATCATTACAAGAAAAATATAAAAGGTATTGCAGTTGAAATTGTAAGAATACCACTGATGAAGAAGATATGAACGACCAAGGCATTTGGGAAACCGGACCGTGAACTGCATCTTTTCTCAGAAACTGAAATACTTTCACCATATCAAACACCATTATGGAGTGGGGGGAAGACAGTGACAGAGGACGTGGTTCGGGGAAAGAGAAGCAGGAGCCGACCAGCATGAAGACAATGGGCAGGAAAGTGCATGAGGCGGGAGAGCTGGCGAGGGACCGAGTTTTTATCTTGGGTTCTGTAATAAGAGCCAAGGTCGGCAAAGAACCAGGTAGATGATGATTAGCACTCTGTTGAAAATGTTTTCAATATTATGCCTGTCTCATAGTTTAACCATAACTCGGTAAAAGCTGATGACCAAAGTGTCATAGGACGTGAGATATATAAATGGACAGATATGATATGGTCAGGAAAATATTGGTGAGAATACACAGCGAAGGCTCGTTACACAACAGTACACAGCAGATATATTTCGTCACAAGGTCTCACTGAAATAAGTTTATTTATTTATAAATAGAATGTAAAGCACTGTATGGGGGGGGGGGGGGGGGGGGGGGGGAATAAGAAAGCACCAGCAACCCGGAAATATATGGAAGTCAAAGGGCATTAAACTAGTTCTAAATTTGACAAATTTAGCTTTAATCTCAAATCACCACTGCTGCATGGAGCTAAAAATAGAGAACAAATAAAAGATTTGCTAATAAACTACAAACATTAACTAGTGCCTGTGCAGATTAGAGGAAATTAAATACCGTGATAGAGTCAGTAATGTGGAGCTCTGGGATAGAACTGAAGAAAAAGTGAATTAAGAGGTGAGGAAACAATGTTGGCTTTGAATAGGACACACATTGAGAAAACTTGAGAACAGTACTACTACTAACTACTAGAATGTCCATACACTGGAGCCACCACATGCACAGAAATATAGGCGGACAAAAGCGAACAAATGAGATGGAGAGTGATATTAAAAAAAAAAAAAAAACGGGGAAGACAAGAGATTAACTACATGCCACAGCACTAAATTCTGTGGCTTAGGCGTTGCAAACGCGCTTCGTAATGCCGGGGTGCCGGGTTCGATCTCAGCTGTGAGCCTTGTACCTTGCGTTGATTTCGACACTGGTATCGAGAAGCCAACCGTCCAGAAAGCAATGGCAAACTACTGGACGTAATTTTGCCTATAAAAACCAAAACAGCCACAAAAAAATGCTGGGGTTGGTTCTGCAATCTCAAGTTAGGATACGCAACTAACTAACTAACTAAACTAACTAAACTAACTAAACTAACTAAACTAACTAAACTAACTAAACTAACTAAACTAACTAACTAACTAACTAACTAAACTAAACTAAACTAACTAAACTAACTAACTAAACTAAACTAACTAAACTAAACTAAACTAACTAACTAACTAAACTAACTAAACTAAACTAAACTAAACTAAACTAAACTAAACTAAACTAAACTAACTAAACTAACTAACTAACTAACTAAACTAAACTAAACTAAACTAAACTAACTAAAACTAACTAACTAAACTAACTAACTAACTAACTAAACTAAACTAACTAACTAAAACTAACTAAACTAACTAACTAAACTAACTAACTAAACTAACTAAACTAACTAACTAAACTAACTAAACTAAACTAACTAAACTAAACTAACTAAACTAAACTAACTAAACTAAACTAACTAAACTAAACTAACTAAACTAAACTAACTAACTAAACTAAACTAACTAACTAACTAAACTAACTAACTAAACTAAACTAACTAACTAACTAAACTAACTAACTAACTAAACTAACTAACTAACTAAACTAACTAACTAACTAACTAACTAAACTAAACTAACTAACTAAACTAAACTAACTAACTAACTAACTAACTAACTAACTAACTAACTAACTAAACTAACTAACTAACTAACTAACTAACTAGCTAAACTAACTAACTAACTAACTAACTAACTAAACTAACTAACTAACTAAACTAACTAAACTAACTAACTAACTAACTTAACTAACTAACTAACTAACTAAACTAACTAACTAACTAACTAACTAACTAACTAAACTAACTAACTAACTAACTAACTAACTAAACTAACTAACCAACTAACTAACTAACTAACTAAACTAACTAACTAACTAAACTAACTAACTAACTAACTAACTAACTAAACTAACTAACAGCACTAAATAGGTCGACTTGACATACGTTGGTTGACGGCTTATACTCCACTGGGGGCAGACGAAGAGTTTCTCATACTTGTAAAAATATATTCTAACAAAACAGCCCAGAAAACATGCATTTTAGGCTCTGCACGGGATACAGAAGACAACAAACCCATCCCTACTAAAAGTCAGCCTTCCAGCTGATCAGTGCACTTGCAAAAATGGGCACCAGACACCAACCACACACTGCATAGTGCCCTATTGATGACAGGCGTTAATTTGACTAACAATCTAATCAGCTTAGTTCATATATTATAAACATGGCTCTATCGACATACCATCTCTAGCTACGAACACACTTGACAGACAATCTGGCACACTGGTTCCTGCTGCAAGCAAAGTCAGACCCATCACTGTATCTGGTATGTCCAAAGCATCACCTGCAAAACAGCCATTTGACACTGATAGGTTCATGATATGCCTCAATAGGTAAAGGGAGTCGCCGTGGCGGAGCAGCTAGACGCTCGCCGCGAATCGGAAGGTAGTAGGTTCGCTCTCCGTCGGAGCCAGACTTTTGTCAAAAATGAACTTGGCTCCCAGGTCTACCCAGCCTTGAGTGGGTACCGGGTGCAGTCCCAGGAAGTAAAGGCGATCGGAGTGATACTGACCACATCACCCATCTTGTGCCGACTGGTCTATAAAATATAGGTCTAGCCCTATATGCCCAATACGCCTAAAGGCGTGGAAAAGGGTCCTTTACTTTGCCTAATAAATAGGTAAAGACAAGAGGGATATTTGACACTGACAAGCTAATGATATATATTAGGAGTTAGAGACAAAACTGACGCTCAACACCCTAGGTTAATAGTGTGTATATATAAGTACATTTGGCACCTGTAGGCTAATGATATATATTAGGAGTCAGAGACAAAACTGACGCTCAACACCCTAGGTTAATAGTGTGAATATATAAGTACATTTGGCACCTGTAGGCTAATGATATATATTAGCAGTTAGAGACAAAACTGACGCTCAACACCCTAGGTTAATAGTGTGTATATATAAGTACATTTGGCACTTGTAGGCTAATGATATATATTAGCAGTTAGAGACAAAACTGACGCTCAACACCCTAGGTTAATGGTGTGTATATATAAGAACATCTGGCACCTGTAGGCTAACGATACACACACGCACACACATGGGTAGTGAAAACTAATAATAATATATTCTAGAATTTTTGTTGAAGGGGTGGCGGTGGGTGGGAGGTGATTTAAAAAGAAAAGGGGGGGGGGGCGGAGAAACTGACTTGTAATATTCTTCCCCCCCCCCCCTTCCGCCAGGATATTCACAATATTCTTCTTGTTCACCCAGTACATTCGAAATATGATTTTTGTTCACCCAGTACATTCGAAATATGATTTTTGTTCACCCAGTACATTCGAAATATGATTTTTGTTCACCCAGTACATTCGAAATATGATTTTGGTTCACCCAGTACATTCGAAATATTTTTTTAGTTCACCCAGTACATTCGAAATATGATTTTTATTCACCCAGTACATTCGAAATATGATTTTTGTTCACCCAGTACATTCGAAATATGATTTTTGTTCACCCAGTACATTCGAAATATGATTTTTGTTCACCCAGTACATTCGAAATATGATTTTTGTTCACCCAGTACATTCGAAATATGATTTTTGTTCACACAGTACATTCGAAATATGATTTTTGTTCACCCAGTACATTCGAAAAATTATTTTTTCACCCAGTACATTCGACATATTATTTTTGTTCACCCAGTACATTCGAAATATGATTCTTGTTGACCGAGTATTATTCGCAATATCATCCTTTTACAACCAGTTTGTTAGCAATATTATCCTTGCCCACCCAGTATATTAGCAATATTCTTCTTGTCTATCAAGTATTTTCACAACATTTTTCTTGTCGACGCAAGATATTCCTAATACTCTTCTTGTCCACCGAGTATATTCATAAAATTATTCTTGTCAACCCCGTATGTTCGAAATATTATCCTTGTCCACCCAGGATATCCGCAGTATTCTTTGTGTCCACCCAGTATATTAGCAGTATTCTTCTTGTCCACCCAGGATATCCGCAGTATTCTTCTTATCCACCCAGGATATCCGCAGCATTCTTCTTATCCACCCAGGATATCCGCAGCATTCTTCTTATCCACCCAGGATATCCGCAGTATTCTTCTTGTCCACCCAGGATATCCGCAGTATTCTTCTTATCCACCCAGGATATCCGCAGCATTCTTCTTATCCACCCAGGATATCCGCAGCATTCTTCTTATCCACCCATTTTCAGCTAAGAATAACAGTGGGATGTCCCCTTTTCAGTTTACTATCTGGGATCAAGTGTACAGTGCAACTGAGCACATCTGGGGAGAATGATTCAGCTTCGAGCGAGCAGATGGTATGAACGATTTTCTACTCGTAAAAAAGAAAAGGGGGGGGGGGGGCACACGTTTAATCAGGTTGCAACTGGCACTTATTTTCGCTGACTGCTAAGGAAAAGGACTAAGAACATTTGGAAATGCCCTGAATGTAATTTTGTCAGTTGTTTATTCGTTCATTCATTTATTCAATCGGAACTCTTCGCTGGCTGCTGAAGATGGGGACGGAGAGATTATGGGAATGCCCCGAGTGCTGTGATGTCGGTTCTTGAATCAAATCAAATCATTCATTCATTCATTCGTTCAGCTGCAAGCAAACGGATGTGCATGATTACCTGCGATAGTGACCATCCAGACCATGATGTAGGTGAGACCGCTGATCCACACAACAGACATCGCGAAGGACACCAAATAGAGACGAGCCCAAATGCCAGGCCGCCGACTGTCCGGAACTGATACGTACAGCAGCGCTCGCAGAGGACACATGGCCACCCAGATAATGCGTACGAAAAAATTCTCAGGAATCTTCCAAACAGATTCGAACTCGGAAACCGTCACTGTTTGGTAGATAATTAAATAATACTTAGCTCAGTTACCTATGTCTGTGTTGTTTATTCATCCTATTCTATGGCTTTCTTCTTTCTCTAATTGTTGTTTTAATCTTTTTTTTTTCTTATTCTTGTTCTTGTCTTTCTTGTTCTCTTTCTAATTTTCTCTTCCTGTGTGTGTGTGTGTGTGTGTGTGTGTGTGTGTTTTTTCTTCCTCTTCTTCTTCTTTGTTCCTTTTCTTGTCCCTCCTCCTCCTGTTCTTCTTCTTCTTCTTCTTCTTCTTCTTCTTCTTCTTCTTCTTCTTCTTCTTCTTCTTCTTCTTCTTCTTCTTCTTCTTCTTCTTCTTCTTCTTCTTCTTCTTCTTCTTATTTTGCATCCTTGTTCACTCCCTCCTCCTTTTCCTCCCCTCCTCTTCCTCTTACTTATACTTTTTCATCATTACTACAAATTTTTTAAATTTTTTTAAATGTTTATGGATCATCGGAGATCTCCAGCTCGGTGACTGGCATCTAGTTTCTCTTACCTAAATCCTCTGTTGTCTCCCTTTTTAGTCCAAAGCTATGCATGTTCTGCTGGTGAAGTAAAATCCTAAGAGCAAATGATGATTCATTTCAGGTCTCTACATTTTTAAAGAAAAATGTAAAGAACCCTTTGGCAAGCCTTCAGACTTCTCGTTTCTTTCGTAAAAAGTCACCATCAGATAACGTCACTGGACAGTCCAATATTGTGTAGGGTGGTAAGACAGGGTTTCCCTGCTTTGTGATGTTTTTAACTACCCCAAACATCTCGAACTGGACCAAACCCACCTACGTTACACGAGAGAGTGCAGTCTAGGTCCTACGACTGCATGCAGCTTGTCTACCACACCTGAAATATTGGACTATCTGTTTGGGGTGACTTATTACGAAAGCACTGCTTTCTCTTGTATAGACCAACTAGCTGTGCCCTGCCACACGTTGCTGTGGCATAGTTTGACTAAATGGAAAAGAAGGAAAAATAAATCGCACGTGTCTAATATGGTTACTGTCGCAATCATTGTTTGTGAAGATATAGAGATAGTCTTCGATACCCCCCCCCCCCCTAAATCCACATACTACTCTCTCCCTCATCAAAGGTTCTTGGAAAAGAAAGACAATAGAAATCGCACGTGTCTAATATAGTTATTGTCGCAATTATTGTATGCACAGATATAGAGATAGTCTGGTTTGCCGACTTTACAACACATATTATTGTGTCTTTATATTAGTGGTCGTTTAAATGGTATTATTAGGGCAGTTTAAAAAAATGGTTATTTGGTTATCACATGCTAAAGCTGTTTGTATTTTTTTTTTAAGAGACGGAAATGAAGCTTATTACTGTACTTGTAAATAACCAAGTAAATTGTTAAACAAAATGAGAGTAAGGGAGGTAGGTTTAGTAAAATATAAACAAATTAGGAAATGAAAACTTTAAAAATCGTGTGTCAAGCTCTTTAAGTTAACAATTTCAGTCATCACCCCTCCTCTCCCCCATCCACCGAGTGCTGCTCTCTTCCTCTTCGATAGATTTGAAAGTCATCACCTGACGATATTTTTTAAAACTTGACCTTGATATCCCTGTCCATCCGGACTAAAATGGGGAGCAGGAATTGTAATGAGTAGTAAATGTTGATAAGGTAATGTTAACAACACCATCTTTTAAGTACCAGTACAACTACTACTACCACCACCACAACAATAACTAAAATAATGTCACTGCTATCTGTTTTACCATCGGAGTAGACAGGGAGTCGTGAGCCAGAAGATTTGGCGCCGCATGGCTAGTGCTATCGGAACAAGTAATATGTCGTAAGAGTAGACTAATTAGGGAAGTTTCCTTTGAAGTCAGAGTGCGTCTGCATGACAGACGAGGTACCAAAAATCTGTCAACGAATATGCATGCAAAACTCAAGTTCATGAACAAGACGAGAGTCCAGAAGTTAACGAACCACCATAACTTTCAGCTGAATTTCACGACCGGCCAAGATGTATCAGGAGGAGGAGGAGAAGGAAGAAGAAGAAGACAGAAGAAAAAGAAGAAGAAGAAGATGATGATGACAATGAAGAAGAAGAAGAAGAAGATAAAGAAGAAAAAGAAGAAGAAGAAGAAGAAGGAAGAGAAGAAGAAAAAGAAGATGAGGTTAATGATGAAAAAGAAGAAATGGAAGATGAGGATGATAATGATGAATAAAAGAGAAAATAAAGAAGAAGAAGAAGGAAAAGAAGAAGAAGAAGAAGAAGTAGAATAATAATAATAATAATAATAATAATAATAATAATAATAATAAGAAGATGAAGAAAAAGAAGAAGAAGAAGAAGAAGAAGAAGAAGAACACTTACTGAGTTGGTCAGTCTTTGATAACTCCAGCGAGGTGGCTTTGGTCAAACTATTGTTTTCTAGAATCGGTGTCTCATGCTCTTCAGGGAGAGACTGCTCCAAGCCAGCTTGGCTTTTACTGTACTCCCGTGACATGGATACAGACAGCGTGTAGCTGATGCGACTAGAGAAATGTAAACATCGGATATTTGGTTGTCAATAAATCAAGGAAAAGTAAAAAAGCAAAAAAGCGTTTAGCGCTAGTCTTATTTTTTTTTTTTTTTAAATTATCTAATCGGTATTGACGGGTGATGTGGTTAACATGATGACGGCTGCCTTTACTTCGGGGACATTTCCTGGTATCCGTATTATGCTTGCTCGACCCGGAAGCCCTTACAATATATATCTTTATACATAAAATTGTCACATTTCGGATTTGACCAAAAGACCTGCGTGCAGACATGCTTGCGCTTAGTTACTATGCTATCGCGCTTTCCATTAACTCTTTCAGGCCAAAGCAGTTTTTACCTAAACTCCTTCTGCACCAAGTAACTGAGCTCAAAAGCAACACATCAGGTCTTGAAGAGCTCAACGGAGACAAGTGGGGCAGAACAGTTTAACGAATAATTCATACACAGGGGAGTAATGTAATGACTAGGTCAACCCTACACTTTTCAAGTCCAAGAATAAGCCCATGTAAAAAAAAAAAAAAAGCACACGTTCAACCTGTTGTTAGCTAGCCGAAGCCGTCAACAGTTTCCGGTTGTATTTGTGGTCTGTTTATTTGCGCCACTAACGTGTTTAATGTTCTGATTTTTTGCGCCAGCTCTATGGCTAAGTCCTTCTACCTCTCAGTCAGACCGCTTGATCCTGTCCCATGTCTATTGTGTTTTTCCTGCCCTTATATTTCTGGAGTTCCTCTCTTGGTTCATGTTCCTTCTAATTTGACCAGGCGTATCTGGTGTGAGTCTGAGCTTTCCTACATAACTTCCTTTGGACCACCATCTATAGTTTCAAAATTTTGAATATTTTACTTTGCCAAAAAGAACTGAAAACAGTTTCTAGGTTTGGATAAAGTCAACATTGTAAAAAAATTATGCATGTGACCATAGCTGTCTTAAATATATAGTTGTCTTCCTGCAATAAGAGCGGGTTAGGCATGTCATGTTGATGTGTGTGAAATGATAGGTGACGTCTCACAATGATTCTAGCCGTCATTTGTCTATTGCAGTCCGGATGTAGGGGACTGGGTTGGTAGATGGGGTTTGGTGTACGTAAGGAACAGACCCTCAGGGACCGAACTCTAGTGTTCTTCGTTGAATGCTGTTCAGGATCAATGCGGCTGGAACTCTCATGCTCCGAAACTCGAGTGCTCGATAAACACTTTTCACCTGGACAGCCGTTCCGTCGGTTGTCCCGTTTTATCAAAATCTTGGAATTAACTCTAGAAATAAAAACGTAATTTTAGCTGTATTTGAGGACCTTTTTAGATTTTATAGTTTTGGATGGCTTTAAAACCTGAAGTGTGTTGATGCATATTCTCTTTGAGACACTGGGGGGAGCTTTGAGGGGTGAGGGGTGGGGGAGGGTTTAGTTAGTTAGTTAGTCTTTCCTCTTGTGTCGAGTGCGGCACATAGGGCAGAGGTCATGACTCTCCATGCATGGCGGTTCTTTGCAATCTGTTGTAGGTCTTGGAAGTTTGAGTGGCCCATGAGCGAGCCTTCCCTGATGATAGTTCTACGTAGAGTTTCTCTTTGTCTTCCACGAGATCTTTTCCCCTGTGGTGTCCAAATAAGGGCTTGGTAAGGAAGTCTTGATTTATCCATTCTAAGGGCGTGGCCGACATAGTTCCAGCGGCGTTTTCGTATAAAATTAGACACATACTCTTGCCTGGATTCTTGCCTTATTTGTGTATTGGTTCGGAAATCTGACCATTTGAAATTTAGTATTCTTCTAAGGCATTTATTTTCAAAATTGTCTAATTTTGTGTCTAGAGTTTTCGTTGATTTCCAGCTCTCACATCCATAGGTTAGTACTGGAATCACACAAGAATTGAAGATCTTGAGTTTTGTGTGTTTGCTAAGTGGCTTTGATTTCCTGATGTTGGACAGTTTATTGAAGGCACTAGATGCCAGTGCTATTCTAAATGGTATTTCTGGTGCGGTATCTCATGTAGATGACATCTTGCTCCCTAGATAAGTGAAACTGTTGACTTTTTCAAGGCTGTTGTTGTTCAGCGTGATATCAACTGAACTGTTGGTAAGGTCTAGAATTTTTGTTTTTGCGGTGTTAATTTGGAGTCCAAATTGTTCTGAGAAATTCTGGAGTCGATTGATTTTTTCTTGGGCGTCTGTGTGTTCTGAACTCAGGAGTGCTATGTCGTCGGCGAAGTCTAAGTCTTCCAGAATTTTGTCAACCTATGTAATGCCTAAATTTGCGTTATTTATGCACTTGCGCATGACCCAGTCGATTGCTTTACTAAAAAGTATCGGCGATAGGACACAGCCTTGCTTCACTCCTGTTTCTACCGGGAACCAGTCAGAATTGCCGGATTCAGTTCTTACACAGCATCGTGTTTCATTATAAAAAGATTTTATGATGTTGATATATTTGATGAGGAAACCATAGATGTTAAGCAATTCACAGAGTGTTGGACGATGGATACTGTCGAAGGCTTTTTGGAAGTCGACAAAGTTTATCAATAATTTCGACTGGAATTCTGTAGAATCTTCAACAGTTATTCTAAGAGTAAAGATGTGGTCTATGCATGACCGCTTGGATCTAAAACCGGCTTGTTCTTCCCTTAATCTTTCATCTATGGATTTTTTCAGTCTTTCTAGTAGCATACTACAAAATAGTTTCCCTGGTATCGAAAGCAGGGTGATGCCTCTCCAGTTGTTACAATCGGATAAATCGCCTTTTTTAGGTAATTGGAAGATTACACAATCTTTCCATTGTTGTGGTGGGTATTCGTTTTGCCAGACTTCATCCATCAGCTGGAGCAAATGTTGCAGGATGTTTTCATCCGCTGCTTTGAGCATTTCCCCTGAGATGTTGTCCTCTCCGGTAGCTTTGTTTATTCTTAATTTTTTAATAGCTGTTTTAATCTCCTCTATTGTGAATGACTCGCTGGAGGCAACTAGTGTCGGTGTAATAATTTCTTCTTCTAGATTGGGAATGAGTGTTTTGTGGCTCACGTCAAAAAAAAAAAAAAAAAAAATTAGCAGTTGGAAATCGAAAAAGAGTATCCTAACGGCACAGCGCGGAAAACAATTTGGAGTTAAAAATCTACCCAAAGTTTTTCAGCATCCTCGCCGGTGCAACGGAGTTTGTACACTGCACTGAGATTCTTAGGACTTAGACTTGAGTTAGAAGTAGAACGGAGCATTTAAGGGTTACACCCGTGTGCTATGATGTTAATCCTTTGAATTAACATAAACAAACAAACCTAAACAGTATCAGACAATTTTGAAAATTTTTCGCTTAGTTGTCTTATTAAGACATTAATGAGAAAGAGATCTGGTCACGTCCACCTCACGACTCAGAACATGTGAATGCTGAAGCTTTTACATCCCTTCTTATGTGTCTGCTATAGTATTTCCATTACTCTTCCTAATTTTGGTTCAATCTGTCAGCTCGTGCGTCAGTGGCGAGACGTGATCGATTCGTACGTGTAAGTGTTAGCAGGTAATAAATACACCAGAGCGGAAATCAAGTGATATATTCCTCATCGTCGCTTCGCTATTGATAATTTGCTTGTGCAGCTAGCTTTTTAGTTGTAGTAGCTGGTAGCCTTCACACGTTAGTTTCTGCATGAGTGACGTAAGCATTCAGCAAGCGCCTCCCCCCAATCCCCCTCCAACCATGTTTGCGACGTAAACCAAGTAGCGTATTTGTGATATATAGTAAACAGTGATGATAAACAGTAACAAAATTGTTTTTTTTTTCGGCAGTGAAAAGTGTAAGCGACGATTAAAGCCTTTACGTTCACATCTCAACACTGTCTTTCGCTCATCCATTGTTCTAGACCACGTATTTGTGTAATCTGAAAGCGGATCTTTAAAATAAAACAAGCTTGTATACTGTACCTACTGTACCTACTTGCAACTACCATTTACATAAAATAAAGTCTGCACAGTCCCCACAGAGTGCCTGTCAGACAGGACCACAAACACCTGAGCACATTTTACAGACCTGCCGACTCTACCTACAACTTCGAAAAGACACCTGGTCTCAAAAGCAAAGTGTCCAGAGAAAGCTATGGGAGCCACGAAGGACCTGCAGCTGACATGCGAGTTCATAGAGGCAACCCACCTGATGGTCTGATCTGAGCATACGAAACAGAACGCAAAGAAGAAAGGAGAAGTATACTGTGCATGTATGGTCTTTCCTTTAACCGGTGGTCTGAAATTGGCATCATCTATTGAATGCCTATTGGTCTATACGGCTTCGAAAGTAATAGTATATGTGAAGTATATATCAAGCAGTAGAAAATGTTTGTTAGCTATTTATTTTCACTAAACAAAAATTTTGCAGACCTCTGGAGAATCGTCTTATCTTTCAGTTGGGTTCTCTGTCTCCGCATGGCTTCAGTATTCAGCAAAAATTAATAAAATCTTTTTTTTTTTCATTCAATGTAATTTTCATTGAACGTAAATTTTCGACCTCTTGCCTGTCTCGTCATTTCCTGTTTATTGTCATAGAGCAACGAGAGTCAGTTGTTCCACTAGTTCGCAAAACAGAAGCCTTTGTTTCAAAGGATGGATATGTTTATAAGGAAATTACTTCATTACTTTAAAAGCTAAATTATTGTATCTAGTTTTTGGTGTAGTTGTATCATTGTCCGCGTTGTTGTATGTCGATAAAAGCTTGATATCCACACAATTTATGTTATTATTTGTGCCTGTTTTCTGGCTCATAAACAGCACCTTCTGCCGAAAGCTAAGGTATATAAGACACGTCAAGCGCCTGGGGGTCTTGAGAAAACGGTAAAACGGAGATGGAGATTGAAGTTTCCGGAAAACGTGGTCGACCTTCGTGAATGTGGATACAGGGCGTTGAAGGTACATTGGTTATGAAAGCCCATGAATTAGCTAGAGAAAGCGAGACTTTCAGGTGTGCCATGAAGAGAGCGACGTTCTGTAAAAGGGCAAGGTGACTGATTTATTGCCTGTGTTTTATTGAGATGATGAATAGTTCAACATCTCGTTGTAACATTTGTTTTCCCTTACAGTTTTAACTGGGAACTCTAGCCCTGTTCGTGCTTTCTGACTACGCGTGGTCTGAAAGAAATTGTCAATTGCCCAACAATGAAGGTCGGCTGCAGTAGCATCCACTGCTGTCTTTAAGAGTATTACGTGGTAAGGCCCCATACACTTCTACGGTGGGCCTCTCATTTCACTGTCACAATGCCGCGATGGTATTCAAAGAAAAACAGAAAAAATATCGCAGCTGAAATCGAGCACTAGTACGTCGATGATTGTGAAATTATGAAACGCGTTCAGAATACTAAATATGCATGCCAATCTTTCTTTGAACCTGTGAGCTCTGGCCCTTCTCATGCTTTCTGGAATCACGTATTCATCTGGTTCTTTAGAAACCAATGGTTGACGCCCGAGTTTGGCTTTCAGTTTCTTGACTAAAGCTCTAGACTTCTTCTCCAGGGGCCGATTGAAGTACATCAGAACGATGTATACGAGGTACAGAACAACCATCAGAACAGCCTCGTACCTGTGGAGTGAAGAAAGGACATTTGTAAGATAAATATGTCAAAACTAACACAGACTGGTAGCAGAAGTCGACATGAAAACTACTGAGTTGGCCTTTTTTGCCAGTGGTAAAATGTTTTTGTGCATAACCATTTCCAGGGCTCTTTTGCCTAATAATCAAAAGGTGCCGGTACTCATCACAAGCAAGTCGGACATTTTTGTTCTTCAAAAACGACCTTAAAGGTCGACCCAGTCTTTAATCGGTATAAGGTAAAGTCCCGGAAGTAAAGACGGCCAGCTTGATGCTGAGCATATCATAGACAGTGTGCCGCTTGGTCTATAACATATAGTTCTAGCCCTATATGCCCAATACGCATGAAGGCGTGACAAGGGTTTCTTACTTTTTCACTAGTAGATTGCGGAAGTGATGGAACATTTTATTAAATGTAAAATATCCTAGTAAAATAACCAGTAAAGGATAGGCAACTTATTGTGAACTTGTAATTTATAGAGCAAATCGTGGTAAATCTGACCACACTGTATCTACTGTAGAAAATGTGTTAGGACGGTAAATGTGATCATATTGTATCTACTGTAGTAAAAGTGTTACAATGCTAAATATGATCACATTGTATCTACTGTAGTAAAGGTGTTACGGCGATAAATGTGATCATATTGTATCTACTGTAGTAAAGGTGTTACGGCAATAAATGTGATCACATTGTATCTACTGTAGTAAAGGTGTTACGGCGATAAATGTGATCATATTGTATCTACTGTAGTAAAGGTGTTACAATGCTAAATATGATCACATTGTATCTACTGTAGTAAAGGTGTTACAATGCTAAATATGATCACATTGTATCTACTGTAGTAAAGGTGTTACAATGCTAAATATGATCACATTGTATCTACTGTAGTAAAAGTGTTACAATGCTAAATATGATCACATTGTATCTACTGTAGTAAAGGTGTTACAATGCTAAATATGATCACATTGTATCTACTGTAGTAAAGGTGTTACAATGCTAAGTATGATCACATTGTATCTACTGTAGTAAAGGTGTTACGACGGTAAATGTGATCATATTGTATCTACTGTAGTAAAGGTGTTACAATGCTAAATATGACCACATTGTATCTACTGTAGTAAAGGTGTTACTGCGATAAATGTGATCATATTGTTTCTACTGTAGTAAAGGTGTTACAATGCTAAATATGATCACATTGTATCTACTGCAGTAAAGGTGTTACGACGGTAAATGTGATCATATTGTTTCTACTGTAGTAAAAGTGTTACAATGCTAAATATGACCACATTGTATCTACTGTAGTAAAGGTGTTACAATGCTAAACATGATCACATTGTATCTACTGTAGTAAAGGTGTTACAATGCTAAACATGATCACATTGTATCTACTGTAGTAAAGGTGTTACAATGCTAAACATGATCACATTGTATCTACTGTAGTAAAGGTGTTACAATGCTAAACATGATGACATTGTATCTACTGTAGTAAAGGTGTTACGGCGATAAATGTGATCACATTGTTTCTACTGTAGTAAAGGTGTTACAATGCTAAACATGATCACATTGTATCTACTGTAGTAAAGGTGTTACGGCGATAAATGTGATCACATTGTTTCTACTGTAGTAAAGGTGTTACGACGGTAAATATGATCACATTGTATCTACTGTAGTAAAGGTGTTACAATGCTAAACATGATCACATTGTATCTACTGTAGTAAAGGTGTTACAATGCTAAACATGATCACATTGTATCTACTGTGGTAAAGGTGTTACGACGGTAAATATGATCACATTGTATCTACTGTAGTAAAGGTGTTACGACGGTAAATATGATCACATTGTATCTACTGTAGTAAAGGTGTTACGACGGTAAATATGATCACATTGTATCTACTGTAGTAAAGGTGTTACGATGGTAAATATGATCACATTGTTTCTACTGTAGTAAAGGTGTTACGACGGTAAATATGATCACATTGTATCTACTGTAGTAAAGGTGTTACGACGGTAAATATGATCACATTGTATCTACTGTAGTAAAGGTGTTACGACGGTAAATATGATCACATTGTATCTACTGTAGTAAAGGTGTTACGACGGTAAATATGATCACATTGTATCTACTGTAGTATAGGTGTTACGACGGTAAATATGATCACATTGTATCTACTGTAGTAAAGGTGTTACGACGGTAAATATGATCACATTGTTTCTACTGTAGTAAAGGTGTTACGACGGTAAATATGATCACATTGTATCTACTGTAGTAAAGGTGTTACGACGGTAAATATGATCACATTGTATCTACTGTAGTAAAGGTGTTACGACGGTAAATATGATCACATTGTATCTACTGTAGTAAAGGTGTTACGACGGTAAATATGATCACATTGTATCTACTGTAGTAAAGGTGTTACGACGGTAAATATGATCACATTGTTTCTACTGTAGTAAAGGTGTTACGACGGTAAATATGATCACATTGTATCTACTGTAGTAAAGGTGTTACGACGGTAAATATGATCACATTGTATCTACTGTAGTAAAGGTGTTACGACGGTAAATATGATCACATTGTATCTACTGTAGTAAAGGTGTTACGACGGTAAATATGATCACATTGTATCTACTGTAGTAAAGGTGTTACGACGGTAAATATGATCACATTGTATCTACTGTAGTAAAGGTGTTTACGACGGTAAATATGATCACATTGTATCTACTGTAGTAAAGGTGTTACGACGGTAAATATGATCACATTGTTTCTACTGTAGTAAAGGTGTTACGACGGTAAATATGATCACATTGTATCTACTGTAGTAAAGGTGTTACGACGGTAAATATGATCACATTGTATCTACTGTAGTAAAGGTGTTACGACGGTCTAAATATGATCACATTGTATCTACTGTAGTAAAGGTGTTACGACGGTAAATATGATCACATTGTATCTACTGTAGTAAAGGTGTTACGACGGTAAATATGATCACATTGTATCTACTGTAGTAAAGGTGTTACGACGGTAAATATGATCACATTGTTTCTACTGTAGTAAATGTGTTATGTCTTTACAAATTTCTCCTTTAGTGGACTAAAGGATATGGATACCGTGTGGTGCTAGTAATCATGTCTATCCACAGCTGTATGTACAACCAATCATTTCTGAAACAACAATAGACCCACTGCACTCTCAGGTCGAATAATTGGGAGTTGCCTTCAGAGTCGGAGTGCATGCATCTGCCAGAGAGGTAAGCAACCAATATTCTGCATACATATGAGTCGGATCTGTAAAACGGATGTGCATGCATCAGTCAGGTTCTGGAACAGGACTAGGGTCCTTAAGTGAACGAACAACAAGATCATTTCGCGAAGTTTACAACCAATGAAAGCGAAAAAGATGAAGATTTCTGATGCAAATGCTCTTCCATTCCAAACTGTCTTGATCGCTCTCTGCCTCTACACCCCTCCAAATGTCGCGTTGTCTCGAGATGCTCTAATTTTTACACTGAGACGGAGCATCTATGGCAGCGGTTCACAACTTTCCTAACGCAGCGACACTTTAATACAGTTCCTCGTGTTGTGATGACCCCGACCATACAATTACTTTTGTTGCTACTTCATAACTTCAGTGAATATGTGTTTTCCGATGGTCTTAGGTGACTCCTGTGAAACGGTCATTCGATCCCCAAAAGGGTCACGGCGTACATGTTGAGAACCGCTGATCTGTGCTAATGCTGTAGTGCTTGTCTGATTAAAAAAAGTAAATTGAAAATCTAAGAAAATTAAAATGTCAAAGTAAAAGATTAAAAGAAAGATACTGATGATTATTACTGTACTATGTGATCGCTGATAAGGACATTTATCGAAACGTTTGCTTTATCCGTGTTTTTTTCTTTCAATTAAGTTTCCATGTTGTTTTTTCGTACGTTTGTTAGCGTCAACTCGTCAGCGGTAACCATATTTTCCATACCATTGGGAACTAAAAATACATGACTTGCCAACTTATCAATAACAAGCCGAGGACACTCACCATTCCACGGATTTGTCTCTGATTGTTAGAAACAGTGCCATGACTGACATAAGGTAGAACAGCGTGTCTCGGATAAGTGGGTACCATGTCAGTTCTACCACCTGAAAACAAAAGAGGACATATTATAATATGTAGGCTATGATAAGCTCCAAAAGGCGCACAGACAGATTAATGTTCTTCTTTCCCGGCATTTTCTGCAGTGTGCTTTGTTCCAAACATACTGGTATTATCTTTCTTTTAAAATAAACAAGTGAGGGGGCTATATGCATGGCCAATACGTGGTCTGTACAGTACTGCCCAGGCTTTGTGCGATGAAGAAGAGGAACTTCATTTCTGGTCCTATTTGGTCTAGGAAGTAAATCGAAATGCAGCAGCTATGGATTGTACGTCCTGTCGAATGGCAAATACCATGGATCGTGTTGCGCTGAGAGTGGACGTCAGGAAGGGGATGTCGAATAAACTCTATTTCTTTGACGTATCAAAATCACAGCACACGAGTGTAACTGAGTCTTAAGAATCTCAGCGCAGTGTGCACGAACTCTGTTGCACCGGCGAGGATCCTGAAATACTTTGGGTAGATTTTAAACTCCAAATGTTGCTCGTTTGGCTAATCTTTTTGATTTACAACTGCCATGGGATTTTTTTATGTGTACAATAATACACACGGGTGTCTGTTCTTACTACTCAGAAACCAGTGGAAAGTCCACGTGAAAAAACCTAGCCTCCACCGGGGCTTTAACCCGGGACCTCCAGCATTCAAGGCGGACACCATGCCTCGAGACCACGAATTTAGGAAAACGGGAATGCAGAAAGGGTAAGAGCTGATTCGTCTGAGTCAAAGCACAGTAAACACAATGGCAACAATGGTTTTGACATCCCAGGCTCTAACTGTGGAAGCCTTTTCTTAACGCGGTGGGATCTTGCTAACCACACTGGCCATCGATATGGGCAGGGATTGTCATGCCTCCCTTAACAAAATATAACACTGTTGTTTGGAAAGACGGAAAGGAGCCAACAAATCTAACATTAATGAGGAAAATCAACAGACCACTATCTTGATGAAACCATGTTAAAAGATGATTTAAATCAGCGATTCTCAACCTATGGGTAGCGACACTTTTTTGGGGTCGAACGACCCATTCACACTGGTCGCCAAAGACCATCGAAAAACATATATTCATTGAAGTTATGCAGCGACGAAAAAAATTGTATGGCTGGCGGTCGCCACAACATGAGGAACTACATTAGAGGGTTGCGGCTTTAGGAAGACTAAGAACCACTGATCTAAATACTCAGTGTACAGCAAATCTGCGAACAGGAAAAAATCTCATCCAAATATTGATGACACAAATTGAATAAATCTTAGGAGAAAAAATACACCCGGATAGGAGCAAGTAAGTAAGTAAATTGTACCCCACCAGGACACAAAACAGAATAATAAACTCCCGTGACACAAAGTGCCAACATTCGGATGAGGATCACTCGTGGCGAAGTCCCCAAAACCCCGTTTTACCGTTAGGTAATATTAGGGCACCCGTCAACAGCCAGGGCGGGATTTCAAAATAGCCAACAATTGCATCCCACATAGAGGGGGATTGCCTTATAAGTTATATAAAGTATCGAAAAATATATTATGAAAACTAATGAACCCTTTATATCCCAATTTTACCCCTAAGAGATCAATATGATATTAGTTGAAAATTACTACCACTACTTGATAAAGATCGTCAAATCTGAATGCCAAAATAAGTCATCATATTGGTCAAGCCCTCTTCTTCTTGGCGATTACCGGCTTTACTCACTGGTGGACTCCATAGACGATGTGGTCAACAGCAAACAAGCCTCCTCTACTTCCTATGTCATTCTTCTCTTTCAGCATTTCGAGCACTTGAGGTTCATTGCTGCAGATATCATCCGCTTCCATTAATCTCTCTGGTTGGCCTTCTCTTTCCAGGATTGAGACCAAGTATTTGTGGGTCTGTCTGGATATTATCTTTCCATCGTCTTCTTGGTCTGCCTCGTGGTCTATGACGATGTCATTAGGCATACAAATTTTAGGCTGAATCGACATTGAAGCCGAGGTTAAATCCTAATTTTTTTTAAATCTGTCTTTGTGCAGATATGAATCCTAGACCTTCGGGTTTGCAAGCAAGCCTCTGTTCGCTACGGCACCGCGATTCCCTTACTTTTAGTTATCCAGTACAGCAGGAAGCTACAGGGTAAAAAAGATACAGGAAGATCTGACGCACACAAAGAAGGATGTGGACATAAATTATTAATTATAGGAGAAACTACAGGATCTGCACGAAACAGCAACGGGTATAATAACTTGTAAACCTGTCAAAAATCCCATCAGGCGTCAAAGGTCAATAAAATTCATTGGACATTTACAATGGTTAGTTCATGATGTGGGTTCTGGCGTCCAAGTTTTTTGGAAGGGAATTAGGAATAGACGCACTGTCTGTCAATAAGCATGTCGTAGCAGGCGACTAATAAGGAGTTTGCCGAAACCGGATTTGTTGGACCAAAGGTGCAGATATAACTTTAAACCACACAACGAGTCAAATTCCCTTCTGAGGGCAAATGAGAAAGTTTTGTTTACGTTTATTCAACGGATCAACATCATGGCACACAAGTGTAACCAATAAGTGGCTCTGTTCTACTTCTAACTCAAGCCTGAGTCAGAAGAATCTCAGGACAGTGCACGAACTCTGTTGCACCGGCGAAGATCTTGTAATACTTTGGGTAGATTTTTAACTCAAAATTTTGCCCGGGCAGCGCCGTTAGGCTACTTTTTTTCGATTTCCAACAGCCAAAGGATGTTTTTTTTTTTTTTTTACGTGCACAGCCATACACACGGGTATCCGGGCTTACTGCCCAAAGAACAGGGGAAATTACTAGAACACGCAAAAAAATTTTAGCCTTCGCCGGGGCTTGAACTCAGAACCTTTAGCAATCGAGGCGGACACCATGTCTTTAGTCCCCGCAGCCCCTAATGAGATGGGAAACAAAAATGATAAGATATGCAGACAATATTACATTGTTATGAGAAAATACAATACTAAGGGATTTAGTTTCAAGACAAAACTCAGAATATACATGAGCAACATTTTAGGAATACTATTATACAACAGGGATGCCGGGTTCGATCCCAGCTGCGGGCCATGCGCATTACGTTGGTTTCGACAATGGTATCAATAAAGCCGACCATCCAGAAAGCTTAGGCAAACTACTGGACGTAAATCTGCCTAGAAAAACCACACATCAGCCAGGGGCTGTGGGGTTGGTTCTGCAACGTCCTATAAAGGATACGCAACTAACCTATTTTACAACAGTGAATGTTGGAAAATGACAGCGGGAATTACACATAAACTTGAGACTTTTCAAAATATATGTTTAAGAAAAATTCTACGAATATTTTGGCTTAACAAGATCCCAAATGATGAGCTGAGGAGGAAAACAGAATCCGCATCACTGGCAAATGTTGTTAAAGTAAGACGGTGGAGATGGCTTGAACATGTTTTCAGAATGCCTTGTGACACTCTGGCAAAAACAGCTCTCCGGTGGACATCAGATGGGAAAAGGAGACGTGGACGACCTAAAGACACATGAAGAAGGACAATAGAACGGGAAATAAAGAAATGTAAACTGACATGGGGTACCAAGGGCAAAAAAGCAGCAGACCGGCAGCAATGGAGATCACTTGTGATTGCCTTATGTGTCAACAGCGACATGAAAAGGAAATAGATAAGAAAATACAGCTCGAACATACTGTTCCACTGGAAAGACGACTGAGTAGAGATGGAGCAAAAACAGCTGGACAATTTCCATGGAAACCGTTTACCACGGCATGGAGAGGGCCTCAGCACACGAGATGATGCTTGCTTTTGCAGACATAAAATCACGTAGAAGCATCTCGCCCACGCCATTTGCCCCGTTATTTGTTGATGATGGTGCACTGAAGTAGGGAAGCTTGAGTTTCTCAATAATTTTGTTAGCTATGTCTGCGGTCGCGTAGCGACTAGCAGGGCTTTCCAAACTGAACAGCTCCAGTTGTATTTAACAGAAAAAAAAAAAAAAAAAAGACCTCTAGGTTGGGGGGGGGGGGTGGGGGGGGGGGGGGGGGGGGCCCGAAGAGAAGAGGGAGGGGGGGTTGCAGGAGTTAAAGTGTGGGGTAGAAACCTTTGTATTACATGTGTCTGTAATGAACGTATAGATAGGTCGTCATTAAAAAAAAATGTATTGAGAACGAATAGAAGAAGGATGATAAATATCTTACACAACAAAAGCAATTCAACAATTACAGAGGCATAAAATAAACAGAGTGAAGGAAAAGGAAATGCAATACATAGGAATGGAAGAAGCATTGAAAAACAAAATGATAAAATAACAGGAGCCTGGGATTGACAAAAAACCCCAGTCCTTAGGCAATGTTTTTAAGCGTCCCATATTTCCTATTAAAAATTCAAAATAATTTGCCTTCATTAACGCAGCAGAGAAATTCGTAAAGAAAATCATTTCTTACAGTATCGCCGCAAAATGTAAATGTCACACGTGAAAATTATCTTATATTACGAGAATTTAGCGGAAGTGATATTCATTATGTTCTGTAAACCTTGATTAACTTGGCCTGCTTGTAGTGTTCTTTGAAAAAAAAAAAAAAAGATTAACTTTCATTTTCAAAGTTCCAGATAAGATTTTTTTATAATCCAAGGATTACATATGTATATCTATTTTCAAGCTCTGCCGGCACCCTTTGGAATCAACAACGTGTCTTGATTCTTGGATTATCGCTCATTCTTTTCTTATAGATTATCTTACTGTTAAGAGCGTGCGGTCTGAACAGATCGTGAATTTAATGACTGGTTTGCAGTTAAAACTGGAGTGAAACAGGGATGTATTTTTATTTCCTGTTGTTTGGTATCGCTCTTTTGACTGGGCAATTAAACAATGTTGTGCTGGCAGCACTTACAAATAAGTTATGGAAAGAGAAAGTATACTAAAGATACCAATAACAAATCACGCAATTATTTTACAAGAAAGCAAACACTGAGAAGAAAAGGCCATTCCCTATTCCGCTTAATTAGACATCTACTAAGTGGGGTTGGGGGAGCTCAATTGACCTATACCTAGTTGTAGAGGGTAATAATAGTACTGCTCTAACGGCACAATCTCACCCCTATTTCTATACATTTAAAAAAAGGAGGTTGGTGTGGGATGGGGGAGGGGGTAAGCATCAAGAGTCAGCGGTTGCCATGTTCTGCGCCCTAACGAACGAAGGTTCGGTCTATACCATCAGGCTAAGCCATCATAGCTTTTTAGAATATATTTGTGCCCTCTCTGCTTTTATCACATCAAGTTTGCAAGCTGTCATTAAAATGTTCCCTATTAACATCCCAAAAAGTCCTTATTGCTTACTTATTTCTTTGAAAAGCTTACCGTTTTAATATGTATCTTGAATCACTACCTTATTTAAATTTCAGTAGTACCATAGCATTTTCTGAAGAAACTACACTTTCGCGTCATTAAATCTTTCCCAGGTAAATCGAACATAAAAATGAATCCTAGGAGGTTTTTTGGGAGGTAAAGCAGACTAGTGCAGTATCAACATCGTCTTCCACCGGGTGTCACTTAATGTTAAAATACAGTGTCTGCAACATGCACGCAACATGTCTACGACGATGAAAGACATGCGGGTTTAAGCCTGGGGCTTTAAGAAATGAGCATATCACCAAAGGCACACGGCGTTTGATTAATCAACACAGAACATGCAACATCTGTTGTCTTACGCTTGTAGAGTTGCTGAGGTGAAGTGCTCTGACGTTATTAGAACTAATCACTCAACGGTAGAGACACACATTAAAAAAAAAAAACCGTACTAGGCGATCTGTGAAAGGCTCTTTCGACCCAAAAAAAAAAGGGTCGCAACCGGCAGGTTGTACTAAGGAGACAGGACGTTTCATTCCTAAACAAGGAATAGGCGTCATCGGTCGTTTTACACTAATGTGGCATTTAATAAGGAGATAGAAGCACCTACGGATCTGTCAGGAGTGCTTTGATGATAATCCTCAGTGATCTCCAATTACTAATCCCAGCACTGCAAACATTTCCATAGGTGCTATGATCTTCTTTTCAGTAGCCCTATAACCGTAAAACAACTGATCATGCTAGTTCTATAAAGATGAAATAAATATCTTGTGATCTTAGTCGAATGTTCGTGTTTAAGGGGCCTGCATGGTCTCGAGGCATGGTGTCCACCTCGAGTGCTAGAGAAGCCAGGTTCAATCCCCGGTAAGGGCTGGTATTTTTTCAGGTAGTCTTGGACTTCTAGTAATTTCTCCTAGTCTCTGGGTAGTGAGATCGGACGCCCGTGTGTATTGCTGTGCACGTAAACAATCCCTTGGCAGTTGGAAATTGAAAAGAGTAGCCTAACGGCGCTGACCTGGCAAAATTTAAAAATCTACCCAAAGTATTTCAGGATCCTCGCCTGTGCTACAGCGCTTGTGCACTGTGCTGAGCTTCTTCGGGCTCAAACTTGAGCTAGAAGAAGAACGGAGTACTTATAGGTTACTACCCGTGTGCCATGATATTGCCAAGACGTTGTTCAAACCTCAAACCTGTTCGTGTCTGACGGCTCCAAATTGTAGCCCTTTTGCCGCCTGCATGGACAGGATATAAAGTGCAGGCCAGTCGCCGTAATTAACTAAATGACAACTAAGAAAGAAATAAAACAATGTCTGCGATAATAATAGAGCACAATTTACTGTTAAAACCAGTTCGTAAAGCTGAAATCGGATGCATCGGGCCGAAAGGTATAGATATCGCAATCTACCTGTAAAACACAACATAATGTGGCAAGCAGTCATTTAAAGGCGAACAAAGAAGAAGACATAAGAAGTAGAATAATAACAAGATGAAGAAGAAGCAGAAATAAAATCATAATAATTATAATAGTATTAATAATAATAATAATAATAATAATAATAATAATAATAATAATAATAATAATAATAATAATAATAATACGAAAAATAATAAGAAGAAGCTCGTGAGCATTGTATCCAGTAACATGAAACAGAAAAAAAAATTAAAGAATAATAAGGAAAATAATTATAATACCAACAGTAATGATAATAATAATAAGAAGCTCGTAAGCATTTCATCCTATAACATGAAACAAACCCCCCCCCCCCCCCCCCCCGCCAAAAAAAGAGCAAAATAATAATGATAATAATTATAAAAGCAGCAGTAATAATAATAAAAAGATGCTGGTAAACATTTCATCCAGTAACATCAAACATAGGCCAAAATGAGCAGAATTATTATGATAATAATTATAATAGTAACAGTAATAATAATAATAAAAAGCTCGCATACATTTCATGCAGGAACATGAAACATAGAAAAAACACACACACACACACACACACACACACTCACCATGCCAGCAAACAACCCGCAGACGCCGATAATGAAGAGGATGTTGAAGACAGCGGACCCCACAATTGTTCCTACTCCGACGTCGCTCTGGGCGAAAAACACACCTGCACATGTTTGGTAAAGCTGGTTAGTGGCATGGTATCTCCTGGTGCGCATATCGTTCCTGCTAACACGTGGGTCGATACTTTAGTAGTTTCACAGAGTGCTCATTACGCATATCTCTGCTAACATAAGGACTGATTTTGTTGTTGTTGCTTGTATTAAACGGTGCTGATGAAATTCCCATCAACATAAGACACGTTCATAACTAATGTTACTTAATGATCACGATATTGTTACTTCTTCTTTTGGTCTTTTTCTCTGCTAGTGGTTTTCAGCTGAGAAAGTTTCCTTCGAAGTCGGAGTGCATCTGCCAGGGAGACATGGAACGAACTGTCTGCATTTAAATAAGCTAGATTTGTTTAAAAAAAAAGAATGTGCATACAACACTCAAGTTGTAGAACAAGACAGAAGTCCAGACGTGGAGTGATAAACTTTATCCGGAGATTACAGCCGGTGAACGCAGAGTGGACGGAAGAAGATGACTTGACTTTCTACACCACTAGGACATCACACAAGCGATAAACACCCGATGACACAAAGTGCCACCATGTGGATGAGGATCGCCGTGGAGAGGTCCCAGAAACCGCGTTCAGACAATTGGGCATATGTGTGGCCTGCCTATATTGCGGCCGCTGACAAAACCATGGTGGGGCTTCAAATGAGAGAAAAAAAGGAAGAAGATGAGAAAGTCGAAGGCTTCTACAGTGTCTGTGGTGCGACTCAAGTCCTCTTCAGATCCATACAGCTGGGTTTCTATTTCAATGCCAGGTGCCACATCTGGGATCTCTCTTCTGCATGTAGAAAGAATGTCTGTAGCACTTGTTAGGTATACTGTGGTGCCTGTCTGTTGCACATGTTAGGTATACTGTGGTGCCTGTCTGTAGCACATGTTAGGTATACTGTGGTGCCTGTCTGTAGCACATGTTAGGTATACTGTGGTGCCTGTCTGTAGCACATGTTAGGTATACTGTGGTGCCTGTCCACACGAGCAAAGTTCTTAAGATGAGGCGTTTATTCTATAAAATACTTTTCCGACTCTTATTACCCTATCTGAAGAAGGTACACAGCCCTCCACTTCCACCGCTTCTGCTTTGCTGGATTAAACATCGTCTTCTTCCTAGCGTCCAGCGAAATTAAATTCTGGCGAAATGTAATAGTTCTGTGTCATTTTCTGAACTTTGGTCTTGTTCCAAAGCTTGAGTTTTGTGTACACATCCGCTGCACAGATACTCTCATGTTTCAAAGGGGAATTCCCCAACTAGTCGCCTTTTACGAAATACCTGTTAGGAGCCAATAGTCACCCCTCCCCCCCCCCCCCCCCTATTCATCCCTTTTTTTTTACCTACCTTTTCCCTTAATTAGGCCCTGAAACCGAACACAGGAAATCTCCTTATATAAAAGCTAGCGGATCTATACAGGAGACAAAGCTGCGGAAACTATAAAGTCGCACATATAGTACATCAGTGGTAAATTCTGTAAGATACCACCTGATATAGCAGCCAGATGAGATGGAAAACGTGAACACCCATATTGACATTTATATTATATTGCGAAGGTATTCCCTCTCTTGTATCTTCCTCTATCTGTATCTCTCTGCTTTTAACGTCTCCCTCCATTAGCGATTTTGTAAAAGTTAAAGTTGACCAAAATATTTGACTTGACTCATTTTTAGTGTGTAAAGAAACCTGCTTAGCCTCTTCAAAAACGCCGTATTGTAATGTTTAAATTTGGATGAATTGCTACTTATTCTTCGGTAGATTCATGCCTGCCCACCGCCCCCCACCATTTCCCCCATCCCTAACAAAACAACCAGCCAACACTGCCTGTATCTACCACTTTTGAGGTGTAGGCGGGGTCTTTGGACCTGAAGAATTAGGGCCGCTTGACTAATACTGCCGCCACGGGCTGTGCAAGCTAAGATTTATTTGTGCCTTTGATGGAATACAATTCCCAACCTAACCAACGATTCGAACCGAGGTCTCCCACATATCAGTCCAGCATTCTAACCGTTCGATCAACCGTTCCTGTACATCCAGATCACGGGGGTCTAATTTCAACTTCAAAATCTTTGCTCAGATTTTTGAACATATAATATTGAAACTTGGGAAATTGGATAAAGAAATTGACATTAGATGCAGTAAAGCAAACCAAGTATTGGGACAGCTAGCCCCCCTCTTACAGCATAAGACAATCCCAATCAGCACAAAGAGACATCTTATTCAAAGCAAATTTATTCCAACTATGTGCTACCAGTGCCAGACATGGTCACTCACAACAAACCATAAAAGAAAATTAGTAACCACGGAAATGAGATGCCTGAGAAGGGCTGTAGGAGTGACCATAAGAGATAAGATCAGAAATGAGATCATAAGAGACCAAGTCGGCACAGAACCAATTCTGGATTACATACAAAGACAACAAGTGAAATGGTTTGTCCACTTAGAGAGAATGCCTTGTGACACCATACCATACAAAGCATACATGGGAAGAGAAGAAGGACGTAGAGCACGGGGTAGACCAAGAACAAGATGGAAGGATAACATCAGAGAAACTCTACAACAGTACGATGTGCCTATGGTCGAGGCAGCCAGAAGAGCTAGAAACAGAACCTTATATCTCCCTCGACACCCACAGCGGTAAAGGAGGAAGTGAAGAAGAAGAGAAGAAGAATATTGAAACTGCACTATTCCCCCTTATGAAGCAATCGTTATTTTCGCCTTTCTACGAGTACGTTTTCCTCTCCTTCAGATAATCCCGCAAACATCTCTGACACGATAACAACAATCTTAACAGTCCATGAGTACCAACCAGCCCAAGAGCTCAACGAACGAAAAAACTTTATTTTCAAAGGGTCCAAAATGGGCACACTGCACAGTGTTACTTTGACGGCATGTAGGTATTTTGCTTGAAAACAAAAATCGTCATGTTTAACTAGCATCCCCGAAAGGGAAGTTAAGGTTATAATTGTGACTAGGTTATATGCGCCGAATACAATGGCTTAGCACAGCTGGCCACTAAGAGCCATAACAGGCCTCCCTCCTGCAGTGTTGATACGATCAATGGAGACAGACTAAAATACTCTCCAGATCGGCGACAAAGTCGTCTACCGGTGGCCCCATGTGCAACCGGTCGCCGATGTTATTACTTGGATGAGAATGAAACAGAACACATCTCTAGAATTTGCATATTCTAGCGAGAATCGATAGTTCTTCAGTCGGGCTGAGGTTTCCTATCTGACAAGCAAGTTGACTTTCCTGAATTTGCTGTGGCTATTTTTGGTAATTCAAATGAGGTCTCGTCTTTCGGGTGCAATAGGTCACAGACAATAGTAAACAGATGCTTTTGAATATAGAAATCATCATCATCCTTATCATGTGCCACGTCGATAAGCAAAGCATAGGAACTCCACAGTGGGATGGTACACATTGCCTAGTTACCTGACAACAGTTGCCTAGTTTGGAGAGCATTGTTCATATATCACAACATTGTTTTAGGCTGGAGTGCCTGAAGTACCTCGCTTGCATCTATCAGAAATACCAAGGATTGTAAACCTTCCAACCAACTTGCCAGTCGTTAATATAGACGACCAGCGTAAGGCTAACCTCAGCACCCACCGAATACAGATTGATTTATAAAATAAGGGCTAACTTTATATGCCCAAATATGCATGAATGTGTGGTCAAGACCTTTATTGCACTTTACCTTTGTCACCCTGTTTTTAGCAATCAAGTTCATTACCTATTATGATACAGCGCTCTGTTGTGGTGTGCAGTTTTATCATTGCTGCATTTATGGAAACAGAATATCACTTACGCAGTAAGACACTTGTAGACACATGCGACCAAAGATACGATATAACTAGGTTTGTACCGAATAAGGATTTTCACTATTCGGCCGAATACGAATAACGTGACCAACTATTCGGCCGAATACAAATACGAATAGTGTATAGTGCATAAAATATCACACACACACACACACAGACACACACACAAAACACACCCATAATGTCAAATATACGCTGAACCTTTACTTCACATAAAGTAGCACATAATAGTCGTTTTCTCCTTCGCATTCTGAGCCCTTGAGGTTTACTGCTGCAGTTATAGCTCGTTTCCATTCACCTCTCTGGCTGGCCTTCTCTTCACAATTTGTGACATCATTTGTTTGCAGGTCTGGTTGGACATTATCTCTCGATCTTCTTTTTTTTTTTTTTGGTCTGCCTCGTGGTCTACGCCCATTCCTCTCTCAGGTGTGTACAGTTTTTACTTCTCTGTCAACTGACATTCGTTCAATATGCCCCAGACATTTTAGTCTGTTAGCTCTCCTGATACCAGTGATCAATGGTGATTTAAACAGATTATTTGTTACGTTGTTGCTTCTCATTCTCCATTCCTCGCTGTTAGCATCTTTGATGGGTCCAAAGATTTGTCGTAGGACTGTTTTCGAAAACCTGTAATAAGGCTTCATCTCTTTTAGTTGTGCTCCAAATTTCAGAGCCATATAAAACGACTGGTCTTATCAACGTTTTATATATTTTGATTTTGGTGTTGCGAGACAGACACTTTGACTTTAGCAGATGTTAAAGGGCATAGTATACTTTATTTCTAGATTGTATTCTAGATTATATTTCTTCTCTCAGCATGTTGGAGCAGTTAGAGTTTGCACCCAAGTAATTATTTGTTTCCGTTCGTTTGATTTTCATATTATCGACTTGGATGTGGCCGAAGTTTATATTCTTTCCATGTCTAGTTAGTATTCGTACAGAATAGTAAACATTTAAGAACATTTTATGTTTTGCATCCTTCAGTCAGACTGTGGTAACTAATAACTAGAAATGAAAGAATCCTAGGTATTATAACAAGTAACTAAACTTGGAAATTGTCACTGACAGCTTAGTTAATGCATGAAAGCTGCATTAGCTTTCAACAAAACCAATCGTTCCATGTCAGTATTAAGGCCGTGTATGCAAAAGCGGGTGTAAGGTAACTACTATTCGTATTCGGCCCGACCGCAACTATTTGGCCGAATACCGTATAGTAAATAGGTCTACTTTTCGGCCTAGAAGCGAATACGAAGCGAATATTGGGTACAGCCCTAGATATAACTAAACGCAAACTTGTTTGCGAGGGAGGGAGATTGGGGAGGAAAAAGGGGGTGGGAAGTAAAGGCCGGAAAAGGAGAAAGGGGCGGGAAAGGGCTGGAGACACTCGTACAGATCCAACTAAACGTTACGACTGAAGTTTTTTTTAAAAAAACTGACACGAGAAAAAGGATTGTAAGATATCACGTGCAAGAGGAAACAGAAAAAAACTATTTTAGTCTGAGGCGACGACAGTTCACAAAGAAAACACACGTATTCATCTTCTGTGTTGGCATACCAATAACTGACGTCATGAATTCTGGTGCCGAACTTCCGGCTGCCATAAATGTGGCACCAGCAACATCTGCTTGAAGACCAAGATCTGAAAGGTAAGAAACACGCTGAAATATTAGTTATACATATACCACGATAAGTAATAAGCGTGAAGTGATAATGATTTATCTCATCTCGTCCCATCTTCTTTAATTTCATATCATCTTGCTCCACTTGTACCTTGCGTTGTCGAGGTGAAACGGAAAAGTACCGGTTTGTGCGCTAATATATAATTATATTTGCTGGAATTAGAGTTGAGAGCTAGATTTCGTGGTTTATTACGTGGGAATTAGCTTTTCCAACTCCTAGTGTGGCTTTCAGTGCCTTCTTGGGCAGGTCCGGTGGAGCGGTGATAAGTTCCACTGCTGTTCATAAGAAGCATGCCGTAAAAGGCTACCAATTAGGTGTTTACTAAAATAGAATGTCAAAGCAATGTTTAACCGTTGTGCATTTGAACAAAAAAGATACAAACAATGGACTGCACAATTTATTCCTGCCATGTTTCGTTGTATCTCGTCAGATGCACACTACAGTAAAAATTAAATGGAATAAGCAAATAGGTGAATCCGTTCTAATTAAGGTAAATATTTGACCACACTAAAAAGCAACTGCCTGCTTTTGCCAGCGTTACCACAAGGTCACAACCATGTTTCTCTGTTTACAAAGTTTAGGACTGAGATAATGAAACGTGGAGGCTTCAAGAAATCGTAGCTCTCTGCCATTCGACGACGTATGAGGAATTTGGAATTTACTAGTGAAACGGGTCTACGGCTGGCTGACATGTTCAGACAACATCTTTTGGTTGCCGTTGGTACCTTTGCACTTGATTTCTTAGGATCAGCAAGATGTCCTCGACATGAAGGTGACAGCCATTAAATATAGCCACTCCAGCGACAGAGTCAGCAAGTCTCTTGAAAATCGCTTTATTTACACTTTGGGAACTTTACCACCCTCCGGACTGAATTACCAACACAGTTTCATTTAAACTCCTAGGGGATTGAACTGCTCACACAGTTTTATCTCAAATCCCCTAGTTATGGCCCCTTGTACTCCACAGGGGGTATTTATTTCCCTGGCCCACGCGTGTAGGCAGTCTGCTGTGAAGGCATCGACGCGGCTACCTCGAGATACCAGCTAAGTGATTTTGTGTGGCATTGTTTGATTTGTGTATGTGCTGATGAAGGCTCCACAGCCGCGACGTTCACGTTTTGTTTGTATTTGATATATTGTGAAGCTTGCTAATACACTTTTCGTTCGGATTTATATCTTTTCCAGAAATTAACAGATGGCACGCTATCGACTAAACAGGGGTTTCCTTAGAAGGAGTGCATCTGCTCAGACATGAAACCAACAGTCAGCGTATAGATAAACCAAACCTGTGAAAAGGATGTGCACGCAAAACTCAAGTTCTTGAACAAGACTAAATTCTAAAAGTGGATGAACAGCCAGAGCTTTCTGCCTGAGTTTACAGCTTGTAAACGCGAAGAAGACATTTACGATTGAAGGGTGAGAAAAGAAAATTTGTTATAAAGTGCTATTAGAAATGTGAGAACGTCACGCAAGTACAAAAGAATATTTATACCTTCTCCCTAAATCTTCTATGCGTTCGTGGCTTAGGCGATGAGAGTCAGACTCGTAATTCCAACGTAACGCGATCGAAACCCACTGCTAGCTGCGTGGAATTTTATCGTGGTATGGGGCGTCGCAGGCCGACCCAACCTAACATGGGTACCAGGATGTATGTCCTGGGGAAGTAAAGACGACCGGCGTAATGCTGACCAAATTACACACCTAGTGCCAATTGGTCTGCAAAATATGGGTGCTCTTACAATATTCCCGATGAGCCTAAAGGCTTAAAAAGGGATCTTAACCTACTTTGCACGTCAGTGATATTCTAACACTTCTAGTAAGCAAATTGTTTTTCCTCAAACTATAATATAATCTATTTGATATTATTGAATAACATTGTGACAAAAACTAAAAGGTATACCATCCTATCCTGGAGCCCTCACGAGGGAAGCCCATCAAGTGCTTCGCCAATTTCTATGATGTAGGGCTCTATGTCTGGTTCTCCCATATCAGTCAGTGATCGATAAAGAGTGAGTACATTTTTATGGGACAACATGTATACACCAAAATGGCATGTATAGACACAAATTTAAAAAGAGAGAAACTGTTATTCTTATTCACTAATTTTGAAGCCACAGGTCCAAGACCAGCACTTACAGTTCTAAAGTAAAGACTAATACCAACAGGCACGACCAGAAAGTGTGTGTGTATACTCACCTTCACAAATGTGTTCCAGTGATGGCACAAAATAATCATCACAGACCACGGCTAGGGCAGCGAACATGTAGATGCCTATCAGTATGTGGATGACAAAACCGCCATTCTTGGTGTCTTTGTACGTCATGAAGTTGCCAGGAAAGTTATCCACTGAACGAGCTATGCAGGTTGTGTTCGCTGTGGATAAAATAAAATCTCACAGGTAATTTAGAACCATTGTCTGACCCTAACCCTATTACGTGACCTCGAGTAAAACCTTGTTACACAGATACAGTCATACCTCAAGTCACGAACGCCTTTAGACAGAAGCAAATCGGCCCACGAACACAATTTCCCAGGAAATCTTTGACTAGACCCATAAACAATGCCTTGACGCACGCACGTATAAACTTGGTTATGGCGTTATGTGTTTGGTCGCGAACAGATTGGAGGCCAACAAGGAGGATATGGTAAAGCTGGTGGAAGACCACAGACAGAGAACTCAACACAGAATAACTTGTCAAGTAACAGTGTGAATAGATAGAAGTTATGCAAGAGGATCCAGGGCTACCAAGCGGATTAATTAGATTTGCACTGGTTTCGGTCAGAACAATTATTTCTATTCGCGAACATTTCGGCTTGCTAACAGAGTCAAAGAACCAATTAAGTTGTTGACTCCAGCCACCACCGAATATGCCGTTTTTGATGACAAGATGGAAGTCATTTTACCCGTAAGCAGGGGCACTTTGGGACGGCTGCCGGATCAGAGGAATCAACATCACACACAAGAGCCCAACGTACAATGATGATGTCTACTGCGATAACGCAACATAGAGTGAGTAAAGTAAAGTAAAGGTCCTTTAGGCCTATGTGGCATATAGGGCTAGACTTATTTTTTTAAAGACCAATCGGCACAAGATGGGTAATGTGGTGAGCATCACACCGGCCGCCTTTACTTCGCGCGACAAAACCTGGTACTCAATCAAGGCTGGGTCGACCTGGGAGTCAAGGTCAGTTTTGCAACATACAGTAATGCACTTAATGTTAGCGACTGAGGCTCAGGGGCTGTGATCATAGATGTACCTGTATAGAATGAGATCATGAGGGCAAAAATGCACACTGATGTTTAACTGAGTGTTGAGCTCAGAACTGACACCACTTAACTCAGGAGATTTCCATAAGCTATCCGTCCTCATCTTCAGCAGCCAGCGAAGGGTTTAAATTCCGATGTTTCAGTAGCAGTTTGATTTTATGTCAGTATTGCCTTTCCTCTGAGTGTAGGGTGCCAGCCAGATTCCACATTCACAGTCCCAGGATGTATACATATATTTCCTCTCCCCCCTTTCACCCCCAAGCGCTAACTACCCGGGACCTCTAAAACGATGCTTTCCTTTTTGAATTGAGCATACCCGTTGCTAACATTGTTAACATGCTTTGTGAGTTGTTTACAGTCACTGCATGTGAATGCAGCTGATTCTTAAGCCAGTATAAATCTGATGTGACTGCCTTCACCTCCATTCTCAAACTAGATGTTGTATCATTCGCTATACTTTGTTGCACTACATGCTGTCCATTCTGTTTCGCAATGAAACCCCACGCATTTCCTCCTGCCTTAACAAGGAGCCATCCGTATGGACAATCATCACATCACCGGAATGGGAAACAACAAATCAGTTGTTTCATGTTTAACGAAAAGACGCATACTTCATGCCGACTTACGGGTTATGAATGTAGTTTGATATTTCTTTTTTATGTCTTTTTCATGACACAGTCAATTTATAAGGAGATCTATAAAGAATATGCTAGAAGGATCGTGGTTATTGGTCACGATATAAATAATCTACATTATGCTGATAACACCAGTCGCGCCGATGCAAATACACGATTCGGAGGAAGGTGGCAGGCTGAGTTCCCTCCTGTCCGTACAGTGTCCTTCACATACCTTTTTTTTTTTTTAACCAACATAACGCCAACAATGTACAAGTTGACTTCACGGCAATTTGTCAGCATCATCATCTAACACGATTTTACCCACTAACTCAACACCAACAGTGTAAAAGCCCACTTGAAAAAGATCTTATTACCAACAAGGAAACCGACCAAGTCGAGTTATCCCGTCAGTGGTTTTGTGTGACCGTAATTTTGACGTTAAAGTATATTCTTCCGCTATCATTACAGGAAGTACTATTTAGATGTCCCGCGAACATCTTCCGATAATTAGTGTAGTCGGCAGCCTGCGCTGATGAGAAGGATCCGCTGTCTTAGACTCCGGCTAATCAGGCACTCAAAGACTCTTTTGTTGGTATTCTGACTTTATCTAGTTCTTTGGTCGGGTGTAGATTTACGGGTCTAAGAAACGATTCTCATGGTTGAAAAGATTTACTTCGCTAATGTCTTTATATGTGTGCTCTGATGTATAAGTTTTCTTCGGCCAGCATGTATAGAATCTAATAGAAATGAACTGAAAGCGAAAACAGACACTACTAGATGTAAACTAAAAAGGTTACAGACAATATTAGACATGAGCTTATAAAGTACAATGATACTGGGTTTATGAGATAAGGAAGAAATGCGTACGGTCTGAAGATAACGGTGCAGCTGAGAGTGCCCAGGGGATCTGGCTGATACTCAACACTCAGAGGGAGAAGCAAGAAGGACATAGTGTAGCAGACCGTGGCTGGTACCATTGAAATAACATCTCTTCGTTGGCTGCTAAGATGGGTAAGGGGCGCTTAAGTGTTTATTTTGAGTGCTGTCATCTTGGTTCCTAACGCAGTTCAACTCAACTCAGTTCTAAAGCCAAAAAAAAAAAAAAAAAAAAGCAAAGCGAAACTTTCACATTTGTAATAAAAAGAAGTAATTCTTAAGAAAGGATTAGCACTGAGGTATGCAGCATAATTTATTTGCGTTACCATTGCCATTTAAATAAGAGGCACATAGATTGTCGATTCATACAGTCACTTAATGTTGAATAGGTACATTTTCCCCCTTACTTTTATAAAGTGGGTACAAATTATGACTGTCGGTTTCTGTTATCACAGTCGACGTCACTGTACATTGGGCTTTCTCATACACGATAAGTCCTCCGATGCAGCAGTTAATCTGAGATGCCTGTACTGATTGTTCCCATGAAAAGTTGATTATAATGTCTCCTAACATGGCCTCGAAGATAGCATAGCATAGACTTGCTCCGCCATAGTTTACTCCCAGGTCACGTAACTGTGTTAGTGTCAGAAATCCGTCATTATCCGCCAGTATAGTCCATGGTTCTCCCAGCAGGCACTGGTGCATTACTTGTCAGCTGGTCGGCTCGCTCATCTTACTCCGCCATGACGTGGTGTGTAGAGTCAAGTGATGATGGTTTTGTGGCACTTCGGGATGTCTTCTGCCCATTCCGATCGCATTCATGTTCTGATTTTCTGAAGCATGTGCATAGAGTCTGATATGATCACGACGTTTGTGACTGACTGTTCTGCAGCCCATGCGAGTGCTTTGGAAGCAGCGAGGATCTCCATCGTTATACTTTATCTTAGTCAGTTTCAAAACTTTCTGGTTGCTTTTTTTCTCTATCTTTTGTACTTTAAATATTCTTCTGTGCAATCACATTTCTAGAGGCCTGAATGAAATAACGCTGGCCTATTTATTTCGTGCTTGGACAGGCAAATAGGCAAATATGTATTTCTAACTCAAATGACAGACATGCAGCCTATAATATCTTCTCCAAATTATAAATGGAGCCATCTGCTTGACTTAGTCACTCTTTATCTCTGCTATAATCCTCATCTGCTGTTTTCCAAATAACAAGATACTTTGAATTCCTGTACTTGTTCCAAGTTAACGATAATGACTTTAAGTGCACATTTAGATACAGTCAGCTGCTTTGATATTACCTTTAAGTAATAATCAAGAGATAGTCAATCTCTCAAGTGATAATTAAAAAAAAAAAAAAACACTTGAACACACACACACAGCACACAATTTACAAAACGTCAAAAAAAAAAAAAAAAAAAAAAAAAAAAAAAAAATTCGTTGATGTTTATGGTTTTACAGTGCAATCGTACGTTCAACTGTTTGCCATTACTTTCTGAACAGTCCAACGACCGATCAGTAAGCTACTAAATCGTCCACAACATTTCAACTCCGGTTTTAACTCTAGCACTGGAAACTGCGTCGATGTCTGCGCAGTTGTTGCACAGTCATCTTATACAACGCCCTAAGCCAGATACAGATCCTACCCAGCTACATGGGCATAGAATTATTACGTAAAAAATTACTTTTACTCAGATTTTGGAAAAGATAATGGCTTGCAAATTACAGGAGTACCTAGAAAATATCGACTATAACGAGAGGGTTGGTGATTACTGATCAAGAAAGTTTAGAGGGTAGGCAAGGATGTTTCAATGAGGCGTTAAAAAAATTTAAAAGTGAATGTATTTGTACTTGTAATAATACGTTAGATTAGCAGTTTTTTAGTTTAATTATGAATAACATATTTTTTTTAAACTTTTTATTATTACAATGACATTTGCGTTCTTATGAGTAATGTCTACATCTACCATTAAATATCTAAATATGACATCACGCGCATTTAATTACAGATTAAAAACACATTCTGACCAAACGTATCTCCATACATACGGTTTTACTTGTTACGGAATGTATAGTCCTCTTTTTAATCACGTTTTGTAATGTAAATAGGTGTGGGGTATTGCAATATACCGAAGGGAGCGTGGGAGAGAGAAAATGGGGGAGGGGGGGGGGAATGTCCTTGCAATATACTAGAAAAAGGGATGGGAGCTTGGGGGTCTTACCCATATATATTCAACGGAGTGTGGTGGTGGTGGTGGTGGTGGTGGGGGGTGGCGTGGAGGGCTTGCTATATACTGAAACAAAGAAGGGGGGGAGGGGGTTGCGACCTGAAAAAGGTTGGAGACCACTAGATTAAATAGGAACCATAGATTCATAACAAGAGCTTGACAACAAACTAACCTTCCTCGGCATGGAGGCTTGGAATTATGTTAACAGCACGCTCATTTCTTTCAAGAACCAGCTCTTCTCCAGAAACAACCCTCGTTACACCGTCTTCTGCACTGGTGTTGATAGCTCGGAAGCCGTTGATGAGAAGGATGGCTGTGGTGTATGCAAGACAAGCAAACAGCATTCGGTATAGTTTCTTTTGCCCCTTTTTTCTCCATGGATAAAACCTTTTCAAAGACTCCGAGTCAGTAGAAGACCCATTCGCTCTGCCTTTCCCATTTGTTGTGGTGCTGTTTTCAAGCATATAGTTTGCTGAGTTATTAAATGTTAAGTCTTTCAGGTTGAGTGACATCGAATTAGAAAATTGCTCATCGGGTAATGAGGTCTGGAGCTCATCGTTGTCCCTGTGGTGTCAGAAAAGATTGATCAGTCTGCTTTCTAAACCCTTGCACTAGTTTGTTATCGTCTGCTGACATTGCTGCAAGGGATATCCTAGAAGAACCTGGGGAAATAAAGACAACATGATGCTATTATAGGCTAACTTCTTCTTCCTCATCATTCATATTTCTTTCTGACTCTATCGTAGACATCTGCCTTTGAATATCAGGTTACAACATTCATCGAAGATAGGAAAATGGATGAAATATTTTGTTTCAGATGCCATCCGGCACTGATTAGTGCCATCCAGCAGTGATTAGTGCCATCCAGCACTGACTAGTGCCATCCAGCAGTGATTAGTGCCATCCAGCACTGATTAGTGCCATTCAGCACTTAGTGCCATCTAGCACTGACTAGTGCCATCTAGCACTGACTAGTTCCATCCAGGACTGATTAGTGCCATCCAACACTTAGTGCCATCCAGCACTGATTAGTGCCATCCATCAGTGATTAGTGCCATCCAGCACTGACTAGTGCCATCCAGCAGTGATTAGTGCCATCCAGCACTGATTAGTGCCATCCAGCACTGACTAGTGCCATCTAGCACTGACTAGTTCCATCCAGCTCTGACTAGTGCCACACAACACTTAGTGCAATCCAGCACTGATTAGTGACATCCAGCACTGATTAGTGCCATCCAGCACTGATTAGTGCCATCCAGCACTGATTAGTGCCATCCAGCTCTGATTAGTGCCATCCAGCACTGATTAGTGCCATCCGGCACTGATTAGTGTCATCCAGCACTGATTAGTGCCATCCAGCAGTGATTAGTGCCATCCAGCACTGATTAGTGCCATCCAGCACTTAGTGCCATTCAGCACTGACTAGTGCCATCCAGCACTGACTAGTGCCATCCAGCACTGACTAGTGCCATCCAGCACTGATTAGTGCCATCCGGCAGTGATTAGTGCCATCCAGCACTGACTAGTGCCATCTAGCACTGATTAGTGCCATCCAGCACTTAGTGCCATCCAGCACTGATTAGTGACATCCAGCACTGATTAGTGCCATCGAGCACTTAGTGCCATCCAGCACTTAGTGCCATCCAGCACTGACTAGTGCCATCCAGCACTGACTAGTGCCATTCAGCACTGATTAGTGCCATCCGGCAGTGATTAGTGCCATCCAGCACTGACTAGTGCCATCCAGCACTGATTAGTGCCATCCAGCACTTAGTGCCATCCAGCACTGATTAGTGACATCCAGCACTGGTTAGTGTCATCCAGCACTGATTAGTGCCATCCAGCACTGATTAGTGCCATCCAGCACTTAGTGCCATCCAACACTGATTAGTGCCATCCAGCACTGATTAGTGCCATCCAGCACTGATTAGTGCTATCCAGCACTGACTAGCGCCATCCAGCACTGATTAGTGCCATCCGGCACTGACTAGCGCCATCCAGCACAGATTAGTGCCATCCGGCACTGACTAGCGCCATCCAGCACTGACTAGTTCCATCCAGCACTGACTAGCACCATTCGGCACTGACTAGCACCATCCAGCCCTGTCTAGCACCATAAACTGTTTACGATGCATGCTGAAGAACGTTTTGTTTTCTTATATTTACACAAGTTTGCAGTATTCACAACAACTTTTGCTCCTTTACTTACCTTATGAAATATGCAGGCAGGCCAAACAAGTTGAAACCTTGTCACTGTTCAAAGATTCGACTCAAAAGATTGTCATCACAACAGATGAAGGAGGAGTCAGAATTTGGAAAGTTTCCCATGGAAACCACCGGAAACAGCAGTATAATCAGCAACCCCTAGACGAGGTTCATCTACATCGTTCAAGAAGTCAAGATCACTTGTCGAGTGGAAGCTGTCCTTTAGGGTGTCCTATAATGTGACAAACGTAAGTATAATAATAAACTGTTCTGACAATTTCCTTTCAACAGTAGAAATAATATGCGTAACGAGGTCAGAGACAGGATTTTGTAGAATGTTAAGAACAGCATGCACATATTTAAAAAAAAAAAAGTAATGAAAATATGAGTTAAATTGAAATTAGCAGAGAACTGATTACTCACGCGAAGAGAAGGCAATGAAAATAATTTTACCATGTCACAAGAAGGAGAAAATTGCAGTACATCGTGACGGTAGGAAAGTTCAAGGGCAGAAGAGGCAGAGAGAAAGAAAGAGAGAAGGTGCTAGGCAGTTTGACTCCATGCAAGGAACATCATATGTGTCAGAAACGATTGAAAGTACACGACACGAAAGGTTGTAGATATATCTGGACATGACTACCAACGCCACACGACATTACCAAATGTAATCTGCATCAGTTCAGGATGTGTGCTATCTCCCCTGCTTTTTATAACAGTATAGTTGCATATCCTTTACAGGACGTTGCAGAACCAATCCCAACAGCCCCTGGCTGTTGTGCCTGGCTGTTGTGTGGTTTTTCTAGGCAAATTTACGTCCAGTAGTTTGCCATTGCTTTCCGGACGGTCGGATTTCTTGATACCACTTTCGAAATCAACGCAAGGCCCATGGCCCGCAGCTGGGATCGAACCTGGCATCACGATTTTTAAAACATACCTTGAAAATATATGCAAAGAAGCAGAGAGCGAAGAAAAGGACATCTCAGAATTGTTATTTGCAGATGACCATTTGATAATAGCTGAAACAGAAGAGCGTTTACAGAGCCAAATAAACCATGTCAAAATTAAGTGTGAGAAATATAACATAAGGATACGCATTAATAAGACAGAGGCAATGGTAACAGACCCACAAGAAGAAACCATATCAATTGAAGAAAAAACATAGAAATAAAACCAACGAGCGAATTCAAATACCTAGGGCCACCCTCAGATGGAAGAATGGATAGAGAAATCAATATACGATGTGTGAAAGCAAATCAGGTTATGGGACAGTAAACACTGATTCTGAGGCATAGAAAGATACCTCTGTCAATCAAGGCAAATCTCATAAGTGCGTTTTTTGGGAGCCGAAATTGTACTACCAGCGCCAAACAAGGATCTTTACTACAACAAAGATCGTAACATGAGGGATGAGATGTCTTAGGAGAGCTGCCGGTGGGACAAGAAAAGATCAAATCAAGAACACACAGAGACATACAGAGACACACCTGCAGACACACACAGACACTCACAAGCACAACAAGGCACACACACAAACACACACAAGCACACAGGCAGGCAGAAACACACACACAGACACACACGCAAACACAAGGCACACATACACGGGACACACACACACACACAGACACATACACGTAGACACAAACAGAGACACCTACACAGATACAGACACACAAACCCACAGACACACACACAGTCATACGCACACGCAGACACACAGGCAGACACACATACACACACCGCGACTTACACAATTACCGATACGCACACTCATTCATACACAAACACGCCCACACATACATACCACACATTTACATGTCACACATACATACACACATACATACATATTATACACACCTTATTAAATTATAAATTGATAAAGCAATATGTTTTAATAATTACATTTAACGTGGCATATAATCAGTTACAAGCATGAACCAAAAAAAAAAAAAAAAAAGTATGCGGTTAAATGAATCGGAGTTCTTTGTATTTTTCAGATCAAGTGAAAGATGGTTCTATAAATGAGCAGCAGAATATGCTAAACATGTTTTTAAAAAATCTATTCTAGGTTTAGGCTGATTTAATAAACTTAGTAGCTCGCTGTTCGTAGGATTGGATTTAATCAACATGAAAAGGTAGTCTGGAATATTTTGAGATACACTTTTATAAATACAGTTAGAACTGTTAAAAATGAAAAGTTTACTAAATGGCAGAAGTCTTAGATGGCTATAGAGATGATATTTGTCGATATGTTTTTATCTGAAACCAGGCGTAGAGCTCGATTTTGAAGGGAACTTAGTCTGTTAACATTATATTTGGCGCTACTATCCCAAACGGTGAAACAATAGTCAGAACGTGTTGGGATGTAGGACGCGTACACTATTTTTCACGTATCTTCATTAAGGAAGGGCAGAATTTTGACAAGCTGATACATTTTTTGTGCTATTTTCTTAGTTATAACACAAATATGTGAATTCCAAGTTAAATGGTTGTCAATTGTAAGGCCTAATATTTTGTTCGCAGTTACATTAACTATAGGTAATTGATCTATGTAATGCTCAAGTGATGGTTTGTGCAGTGCTAATGTTTCTAAGTTTTGTCTTATTGTTTCAAGCATATATTAACTTGCATATGACAGACCGACAGACAGACAGACAGACAGACAGACAGACAGACAGACAGACAGACAGACAGACAGACAGACAGACAGACAGACAGACAGACAGACAGACAGACAGACAGACAGACACCGAGCCACAGAAATATAATCCTACACAAGGAAATCAATCCTCTTTCTTGAAAACACTGTTTTGTACACTCTCAGTTAACTGATGATATCTACAAGCCTGTACAATACAATGAGCTATTTTATCAGACAAAACCTTATGATCAAAACAACAGCTACGGATAACTAGATAAGCGCCATATCAGTAATAAATACACTTAAAACGATCACACCCCATATGATGTAAGTAAGGTAAGTAAACTAGCAAACAGGCAAAGAAACTGAATAATATTTATTCGAAGCAGATCCGTGGTTTCTGAGAACGTTGCACAGGATACTATGGAAACAAATAAAGCAGACCTCATCGAGACAGATGAAAGTAGTAATCCTGTAAGAGCGAGGAGGGCAAGGAGATAAATACTTGGATGGTGTGGCCAGATGGCTGTGGCCAGACAAAACACATTGAACTGTTTAGTGCGAAATATGACAGCCTACGTTTACCGGCATGGCACATGATGACGATGACGAAAGGAAGATAATAATTTTAAAGACCATTCGACTCTAGATGTGTGACAATTTCAC